GAGAGAAAAAACTGGAGAAGAGAAGGGTTGGGTTTCATAAATTAAAGAGGTAGGATTAGGTTTTTATGACCAAAAACTATATAGGAAAACAGGAGAAGAATTGGGTTGGGTTTAATGAGCAGAGAATGTAGAGGAAAAGATAAAAGGGTTGGATGTTATTATGAGCAGAGAGGTTAGAGGAAAAGAGGAAAAGGATTGGGTTTCATGAGTAGAGGAGAACGAGTAGAGGAGAAGTGTTGGGTTTTAAGACTACTGAAGGTTAAACAAAAGAGTATAGGAGGTTTGTCGTTAATTATTTAAAGAGGTAAAGCATAAGAGGAGAAGGGTTAATTTCATCAGCAGAGAAGCTAAAGAAAAAGAAATGAACGATTGGTTTTTATGGGAAAAGGAGGAAAAACAAAAGCGTCGAACGGGTTGGAAGAAAGGGTGGAAGAAAAGAGGAGAAGGGTTGGGTTTCTTGAGCTGAGAGGATAAATGAAAAGAGGAGAATTATTGGATTTTATGTGAAGATGAGGCCAATCAAAAGGGTGGAAGTATTGAGCTTCATGAATAGACAAGGAAAAGCAAAGAGGATAAGGATTGGGTTTAGTTATTTAAAGAGGAGAGAATAGGAAGAGAAGGGGTGGATTTCATGAGCAGAGAAGGTATAGGAAATAAAGAGAATACTTGGGTTCGTGTGAAGAGAGATGGATGGAGAGCTAAAGAGTCGAAGGGTTAGGTTTCATGAGTAGAGAAGAGTAGAGTATAAGTGTTGGGTTTTATGAGTAGAGAAGGTTAAACAAAAGAATATAGGATTGTTGGGTTTTATGAGTAGAGAAGGTTAAACAAAAGAATGTAGTAGGGTTGGGTTTTATGAGTAGAAATGGTTAAACAAAAGAATATAGGAGGGTCGGGTTTTATGAGTAGAGAAGGTTAAACAAAAGAATATAGGATTGTTGGGTTTTATGAGTAGAGAAGGTTAAACAAAAGAATGTAGTAGGGTTGGGTTTTATGAGAATATAGGAGGGTCGGGTTTTATGAGTAGAGATGGTTAAACAAAAGAATATAGGATTGTTGGGTTTTATGAGTAGAGAAGGTTAAACAAAAGAATATAGGATTGTTGGGTTTTATGAGTAGAGAAGGTTAAACTAAAGAATGTAGTAGGGTTGGGTTTTATGAGTAGAGATGGTTAAACAAAAGAATATAGTAGGGTTGGGTTTTATGAGTAGAGAAGGTTAAACAAAAGAATATAGGAGGGTTGGGTTTTATGAGTAGAGAAGGTTGAACAAAAGAATATAGGAGGGTTGGGTTTTATGAGTAGAGAAGGTTAAACAAAAGAATATAGGAGGGTTGGGTTTTATGAGTAGAGAAGGTTAAACAAAAGAATATAGTAGGGTTGGGTTTTATGAGCAGAGAGGGCAGATGAAAAGCGTAGAATGATTGGGTTTCATGTGATGAGAAAGTAGAACAAAAGAGTCGAAGGATTGGGTTTCATGAGTAGAGAAGGTGCAGAAAAAAGGAGACTGATTGGGTTTCATGTGATGAGGAGGCAGAACAAATGAGAAGAAGGGTTTGGTTTAATGAGCAGAGAAGGCAAAGAAAATAAAGAGAATACTTGGGTTCGTGTGAAGAGAGATGGATGGAGAGCTAAAGAGGAGAAGGGTTAGGTTTCATGGCTAGGGAAGGCAGAGAAGGAAAGAGGAAGGATGAGTGCAGTAAAAAGAAGAAGGTTTTGTTTTCTCCGATTTCTAAGAATACTGTTATGTCCCCTAGCAGACGTAAACCCCGCGGGAGCCCAGGATGTTTTTCCAGAAACGATATATTTGCACACTTAAATTCTAAATGTGTAAAAACTGAGTAAAGAAAAACATATCAATTTTAGCTTAGATATATCTATGTATATTGTATATTGTGCAATAAATCTTAAAATAATTGGGAAGAGGACACCTGCCTTTCTCATTTCATCGATGTGTCATTTCACGTCGATCTACTGAAAATTGCATGGTAACATATATTTTAAAATTTTTGAAGCCCCCCTTTGATTTAGATTGTATATAGTTATATGTATGAGTGGCTGTGTTGCAGCTGGAAATCTGAGTATAAATCTACAGGTATAGGAGAGGGACGTAACGGATGGATGAATCTTTCCGTTGAAGTTACGTTTCTCTACTTCCTATCCCACCCAGAGCCGTTACCACAACCTTTCCCAAGATTAGGATTTATCCTGTGCAAGCATCCTCTTATGAAAATAGATAAATCTTCATATATATACGTAAATAATACGCCACTTCTATATTTCTAAACAATAATCATGAAAGGAACCCCTAAGTAAACTAGTTTTATTTGAAAGGAAATGAGTCTTTGTTACAAACTCGAATTTTCTAATCCCTTTATCTTTTAAATCTGATGATGTAAACCTTTGAAATTTCAAACTGAGATTATCTGATATTACAGAAATTATAGTTGGAAATATCTAAGGTATTCGACCATGGGTTTCAAAGATATTGGGATTACAAAATCAGAGTTTGTGGCAAAGACTCAATTCCTTTGTCCACTTCGACTGTTTGAGGTCGCGCACAAAGAAATAACAAGGGAGGTTATTTTGGTATCAAGTCTCATTTCTGTTTTCTAGCCTTGAGGAGAACGATTAGAAGGAACCGAATAAGAAAGAGGAGGAAAAATATCAAGAAAGAGACAAAAAGGAGGAGAAGGTGAGCAAAAAAGGAAAGGAAAAAAATAGGAAAGAAAGAGAGAAAAAAGTAAAAGAACACTTAAACGATGAAGATTGTTGGAAGTGCAGTGGGACAAAGATGAAGATTTTATTATTTTTGAATAAAAAAGTATGCGGTAAAGCCAACAATTTTATAAAATAAGAAAAGATATGATTGCCAATTATAGGACGCGAAAAGGAGAGTTTAGAGGTATATTTGCAAAGAACAGGAAGAGAGGAGAACAGAGAGAGATATTGAGGTGTATAAAAACAGGTTTCAGAACCATTAATCCATATTTCAATATCTTAATTCAGGGCACAGCAGGTCAAATTGGCCACAGGTCCTCAGGATTTTTAAATGCACAGTGGGTAGTCAGAACATGATGCAATTTTACCGTTTTGTAAAGTATAACGGAACCTAGTTTTATCGGAGTTTGGACAAGTTTTATCAAATAGTTTTCAGAGAGAAATTGCATGAAATAGAAGAATCGATTAGAAACCTCACAACACTTGAAATAACAATCCACCGATCAAATTATTTTAACACTTTCAATATTTATTGAAAATTAAATCTAACTTGATTGCTATTTGAATCTGAGTTAGGTTTGTTGTAAATGTAAATACGAAGATGGATTTGATCTTATCTCGTGACTTTTTGCAATTAATCTCTCTATCCTGGATCTTTTACCTTCCAGAACCAAGTTTAGTAGGAAAACAACCAGTTCCAACTCAAGAATCCAGGGGTTGGGGGGATATAGAAACTAGCTCCGAAATTGAAATGATTTCCAATCCGTCCCAGGGTACCAGTACAAACGTCGGACGGTACAAACCCAAGACTTATAAACGTTGGACAATAAAAACGTCGGACCAGGACAAACGTCGGACCAGTACAAACGTCAGACTAGGACAAACGTCAGACTAAGGAAAAAAATTATTTGAATTTTAAGATTTTTTTAAAAGTTATTTCCTTTTATCGACTGGTCTAATAAAAATCTACCCAAAGGAACTGAGTTCTTGCCAATTACTCAAATATTCTCATCCCTATGTCTGACAGTCTATGTAACCTGGTAATGGTATTAACCTTATAGATTAATCTTATAGATTAACCTTATAGATTTCATAGGTTGAAATATTAAAGGTTATACGACATCGGGTTGCAAAGATATAGGCATTGAAACATTAGAGTTCGTGACAATTGAACTCAACTCCTCTTATATTCTCTGTTATTTTATACACTTTAAAAAGCTACCTTCAAAGGATTAGACTTTATTCAGTTGTCTTTGATTTTTATCACAAGAAGTGAGAGAGTTTTAATTTTTTTCTTAAAACAATTGACTTTTTTTTCAAACTCAACCAAAGTCCGACGTTTTTCCTTATAAATGTACCCGTCCGACGTTTGTACCAGTCCGACGTTTGTAACATTCTGACGTTTGTAAGTCTGACGTTTGTAAGTCGGACGTTTGTACTGTCCGACCTTTGTAATGTCCGACGTTTATACTGATACCGTTAGAGGACTAAACACTAAGGCTGCAGATTTTTTAGAGATAAAACTTTGGATTGTTTGAGATAAATTGACCAAGATGTATCCAATCTAAAACATTAAATCACAGGACCTATGCCTTCGTTTCTATGATAAAGAGTCCTCTTGTGAATAATTTATGGTACTTTCATGAAGGGGGTCTAAGAAAGTTTATTTAACATTCTTTCACGGCCGTCTCGTTATTTGGAAATAGTAATATGTGTGCTTTAAAAATTGTGACATTCTGCAAAAAAAGGTGTTTTTAGAAAAAGAAGATTTCAATTCATGCATGAAATTGATAATTTAGATTTTTTTAAATAATTGTTATAGTTTCAAGTTTTCTAGATGAATCTCTTGCTCCGACCTTAGTTCAGAACTGTAGGCATTTACCAAACAATCCCGGTGTTATTCCTAACTACGGATTTATCCACATAGGATGAGAATGTACGTAATTTATCTACAGTGGCGTGAACAGGAACTTTTTTATGGGGGAGGGGATGGGAGGGATTAGATCCGTTTCTAGAAATTATTAATTTCCAGTGCCGGGGACTCACTTCTTTAGCTTCCTCTCTAAATACGTCCCTGTATGTCTAGTCTTTTTTTACTCATTGTCTTGTAAAGATGATTTACATGTTTTTTTTTGCATTTGCATCAGTAAAACAACGAAACATGATGATATTTTGCCTCTTTACCCTGTACTTTTGAATAACATTTTAACCAAAACAGCGTTTTGATGAACAATGGACAAATCTGAGCATTTAATCGATCTCCTGTTTAATTCGTTTCTTTTATTAGAAAGGAGCTGAAAATGTCTTCACTGGAAGCAATATGATTGGTGAACTAATAACTTCTCCTTTAATCCAACCTGAACCTATCTCATCTTCTCCTCTACTCCAACCTGAACCTATCTCATCTTCTCCTCTACTCCAACCTGAACCTATCTCATCTTCTCCTCTACTCCAACCTGAACCTAACTCATCTTCTCCTCTACTCCAACCTGAACCTAACTCATCTTCTCCTCTACTCCAGCATGAACCTATGTCATCTCCCCTACTCCAACATGGAACGTTTTCCGTTTTTCAAGATTTAAAATATGAAGACCAAGGATCTTCCGATCACTTGAACCCGCACTGGGGGTTGGTAAGAGAGAAGAAGTTTGCTTTAATTGCTTTTAGTTTTGACCCGTTTTAATCCCACCATCAAGGCAGAACATATCTTATTAGAAGACAGGTTTAGATCAAACCAGGGAGCGGGGCAACTTTGTTCTCAGCGTCCATATCTAACCAGTAGAAGGACCCAGCTTTGCACCTTGTTCATTTAAAAGTTATTCTATTTTGCTTTTATGAAATATTTAACAAAAAGACAACCAATAGTTTTTTTTGCAATTTCATCTTTTTTATCAATTAAAGAAAATTGTTCGTCAAGTTAATACAAGTCAATTGTTATTATTTCAACTGCTTTACAGGGAAGTTAAGAGAATTTTACTTAACCTGCAAAACTTTCTAAAGGAATTAAGTCTTTGTCACAAACTATGATTTGTAATCCAATTCCGAAGACCTTAGATATTTCAAACTATGAATTCTGTTAGATGAAAATATCTAAGTTTGAAATATCAAAGGTTTACACCATCAGATGGAAAAAATATAGGTATGAAAAATAAGAGTTTGTTACAAAGACTCAATTCCTTAGGCGAGGAAACCCTTGGTTAAGTTAAATATTTAATTTCTCGATAAAGTAGTTGTAAAAAATTTACAGACATAAACATGCAAAGTTTTTCACGAAAACTTCACAGAGTGGGATGTTATGTTACTTAATTGTCCCAAGGCACAGATAAGTAAACTAACATCCAGCTGTTGGAGGAATTATGGTTCAGCAATGTTGACCAACAGGCGTTAAAATAAGTTTTTGTTTAGACAAAAAGAAGAGGTGCTCTCAATGATAATGTTAGATCAGGAAAAGTAAAAACCTTACAACATTATCATAACAAAATATACAAAATATACAAAATATTCAATTATAGAACTATGATAAAGTAAAATTATTATTTTGGGTATTGAGAACTCTTTCTTTGAATTATTTGTTTTCTATACTGGCCTGATTTTTTTACTTTAATCAAACATGCAGAAAATGTCCTACATCTTTTTATTAATAATTTTGCGGCTAAACATTTCAATTGAATTATCCGTTTTCCAACTGAGAAGTTTAGATGGAATTAACTTTAACTTAAAGAGGCTTTTGACTTGATTACAAGGGACAGTTAATTTTAGGCGGTCATGGCCAGGACTCACCTTTGCTCTTTATCAGACAAACAATATGTAATATATCGTCTTTTTTTTCTTAAAAAGTAGTAATTTCTCTTGATTTCCTTTTTTGTTATATGCTGTAATTCTCAAGTCAGTCTTGTGGATAACAATCAATTTTCAGATAGAAAAAAGGGATACCTTTAGAAGTTTGCTCATACCTTTTACGTATCATTGTAAAACAGGCATATAATGAAGAATCTATTTCCTCGGTACGACCAGGTTTAAAGGACCTGTTCCTGACAATTGATCTGTGTTCACAAAACCAACTGCTGCACTTGGAGAACATTGATTAGGATGATTTACTCATACTCAGAAAGCCCCCCCCCCCCCTGGGTTAAATTGAATATTACTTTGAATTACGTCTAAAGGTCCTTTAAGTTTCTAGAATTAGGTTAAACTTATAGTAAAGAACGATGTTCTTGAGTTCCACCTGAACACACTGTTTTCTGATAATCCTCCAGAGGTAACTTTTAAATTCAATTTCGGAAAAATCAAGAATATAATTTGTTTGTTTTTTTCAGGGCGAAAAAGAAGATATTGAAATTAGGTAAATAATTCGGAAAATAAAAATGCACGAGGATATTTTTTACATGATGCAGGTTTACCAACAAAAAAAATCGTTTAGTGACGATATTGAAATGGGAAAATTTGATCATTGCAATGAATGCCAATCACCAAACTAAAACTGATATTTTGCTTTTTTTTATTTAGAAAAGACACAAAGTTGGTTAAAAACCAAGATCATTACGTTGTACTGGATGTTGGAGGAGAACGGTTCACGGCCAAAAGGGACACAGATCACTATTCATATAGCTATTGTGTTGTTAATCGTTTTGGATCGTTTTAGATCGTTTTGGATCGTTTTGGATCGTTTTGAACCGTTTTGGATCGTTTCTTAAAAATAACAAATAAAAAATTCCAAGATTTTAAAACTGTCATAAGTTAAGGTTTGCTTTTATTAACCTTTGCAATAGTTTTATCATAAAAAAATAAAACGATCATTAGAACACGTGTATACACTTTTTAAATAGTTTTTGCTTAGTTTGTTGTCAATATTTTTAGTCAGGGTTAAAGATGGCATAATGTACAACACCACATGTTTACAATACTCAATTTTCAAAACAATTAAATTGTTGCCACTATACCAAATTTGAACCCTGAAATAAAAAATGGGCAAAAACGATCCAAAAACGACCCAAAAACGATCCAAAAACGATCCAAAAATGAACCGACGGAATGCGTAAACTTTAATTACTACTTTAATTACAGTGGAACTAAAAAAACTGTGGAATAGGAAGACGACTGTTGTGCATTGTACACAGACCCATTTCACTTGAATAGCTTTTTTTTTGTAAGGCATGCGAGTAAAACTATTTACTTTGTAACAATATCAAATTAACATAAGATTGCTTAAATGTCCTATCATGCTATGACACAGTTTTATAAGTCCTATTGGAGTTTGCATTTAAAAGCAATTAAATAATTAAGGTTTATAAACTAAGGCTTTCAGAGTTCAGCAAGAAGGTAATCGTAAACATTAGAATATTTAAAGACTTAAAAAATAAAACTTTGTGATGGATGATTTATAACTACAAAAGAATTGAGTCTTTATCACAAACTTAAATTTTCTAATCCCCGTGCTTCTAGAAATCAGATAATTCGACATAACAAAATTCACAAATTAAAATATCTAAGGTCTACGAGATTAGGTTTTAAAGATGTAGGGATTAGAAAATAAGAATTTGTTGCAAAGACTTCATGGTAACAGTAATGCTCTTGCCATTTATTTCGGACTGGATCCTTTCCCATGCCACCTTTATCTTTTGAAGTACACATGATTGTTGTCAATTGCAGAAAAATTCTTCAAAAATATCCAAATACAAGGTAAACTACAGGGTGTCCCAAAAAACATGGGAATTCAGTGACGAATTGTATATCGTCTTTGCTATGAATTAGCATTGTAATACCTAATTTCAAAAGCCATAATATATTATTATGTCTGCTAGAGTTTATTTCATGAAAAGGGTAAAAGACTGTAAAGATGAGTCTATAATGTCTCTGCAAGATGAACAGTGAAGACGGACAAGTTTTCTCTGTTTGTATACTGCAATTTTCTTGTTTTACTAAGTACAACCGTATGCAGTCATAACATAACCAAACAAAATGTGAACATAGCAGACGAAACTCTTATAGATTACAGCTTTCTCAGTTGGTATCACTTTACTAAATCAAAGAATTATTTAAAAAGAAGATATCGAATTCGTCACTGAATTCCCATGTTTTTTGGGACACCCTGTATGAGAAAAGTTAAAAAATCTAAAAATTTAAAATATATAAGACGACATTTAAAAGCAACTTCGAAAAAGGTTGGGAAAACTGGTGAAGAGCGAGTCTCTGACTGAGATTTTATCCTGCTGTGATGAATTTACACCTGGAGAACCCCCAGAGTACTTCTTTGACAGGTAAGCTGTCAAAGCTGTCAAAGCTGTCAAAGCTGTCAAAGCTTAATCTTGAGTCTATTAGACTTATATCTACGTTTAAAGTTAGACCTGACTAGGTTAGTTCTGTCGAAGTGATTACCTGGTTTTAAGACTTACCCATAACTTATTGAAAAGGAAGTGAGTTTTTGTCACAAACTCAAATTTTCTAATCCTTATAATTTCGCAACCGGTTGGTGTAAACCTTTGATATTTCAAACTTTGACTATCTTATCCATCATAATTTATAGTTTGAAATATCAAAGGTCTACAATTCTTGGTTGCAAAGATATAGTAATTTAAAAAATTGAGTTTGTGACATAAACTCAATTCCTTTGTCCAACTAAAAGGCAACTTAGACTTGAGACAGATTATTATTCTATTATTTCAAATTGCAACCTCTGGCAAGGTTCGGGGCATTTAAGAAAATTTAAAAAAATCTACAATTAGACCAAGAAAACTGTAGAATAGGAAGACGACTATGGGACTAGTCCAATGAACATAAAAACCCAGCAAATTGTAAACCTATTTTCTTTATAACAGCATCAAATACTCATAAGATTGTTTAAATACTTGTATTCCATGTTCAACAGTTTTATGGGGTCTCACTCTACGGTTTTTTTAGAAACCCCGAAGGATTCTCCGCCATACTGGAAATGTTCAGGTAATCTTAAAATAAAACTTGAAAAAATATGAAATATTAATTTATCATAGAACCGGTCTTTTCCATCTACCTGAGGGCGGGAAAGCATGCGCCTTGGTAGTCAGGTATGAAAATCAATCAATTTCGATAATTTGGAATCTACGTGCAAAGATCATCTATATATACACTCCTGTATGCCGAGTCCATTAGCGCCTGATCCAATCAAGGTTCAGTCATGTGTTTTCTGTCTTTTTTGAACCAATTATGGCGGTAACATCTATATTTCTATATATCTCATTATCCAATCAGGTGTTATGAATCCTTATATTGGCGCTATCAGTAAATGGAAATATTTACTTCTACTGAAACTATTGTGTAAATAAAGTTGTAACCTCTGTTTGTCTTTTTGTCCGATCATAACTCAAAAACCCCTGGGCCGATTTGCCTCAAATTTTGATTGGAAACTTGGGAGAACCACGGGGAATGTTCTTAGCTTGGTTTTAAGATTTTAAGTTAAGTGAGTCCACTTTTAAAGGGAAAAATAGATTAAATCGTAATTTACGACAAAACGCGCATGAGCCACGAGACTAACTATGACTACCCTGGGCAACGCTGGGTTCCCAAGCTAGTTACTTTATAACTATAAAAAGTGTGTTTGGTAGAAAAAGTTTAGAGTATTGGGAGATAGATGAACTTCTCATGGAACCTTGCTGTGCCCTCAAGGAATTATTTCATCTAATTTAAGAAACTAAATATTTATGATCTACAACTTTTTTATTAAAGAGTTAAAAAAGAAGTAGTTAAACTACCCGTACCAAGTTCATCTGCAGTGAAAATCAGAAAACTATGAAATAGGAAGACGACTTTACAGCAATACTTAAGTGTATTTGATGTTGTTATAAAGCAAATAAAAACTACTACATATACACATACATAAACAATTTGTACCTATAATTGGTCTGTTTACACTGCAAAATTGCTCAGTCACACTTCCAAGCTCACTGAACTATTTCAAGTCATTATTAATTTTAAAAGTCGTCTTCCCATTCTGGAGTTTCTGGTTATCACTGTACTTCTCGCAATGCATCATGTCTTATGACCTTTTTTTTTAATGTGAAGCCTACAGAGAAGTAAAATGATTAGAATATATATTTCACACTTTTATGATTTTGGTGTGATTCTATTATTTTAAAGAGATTGGTATGAAATGCCTGCAAAAAATCGTGAATTATCAAAGAGTGGGATAGATAAGTAATGTTTGTTTAGAAAATTTACATTTTTTTGTAAAACAATCCCTTTAAAGAGATGAAATGTTTGATTCCCTGCAGTATTATCCTGATATTGAGATTTGTCAGACTGAGAAGGACGGAGATATTGCAGAAAAGGAAAGAGAATATGAAACTGCTCTGGAAGAAGACTTTGGATCATCTTTTCTTGGTGTTTTGCGGTAGAAATGATGATTTTTCTGCACGTCAAGTCGTGAACAGGATTTACAAGCTTTAAAAAGCAATTAGAATTTTTATCCTTAACACTTCTATTCTTTCTTTAAATTTTGAGATATTGAATACTCAAGACCATGTTTACTGACGAATTTAGAACATTTTAGAAATTCCACATTTAGGACACATTAGTAATTTTGAACCTGGGAAACAAATATATTAATATTCTTATTTATATTTTTAGGATATTTTTTTTAAAAACATAATCATGATTATTTTTTCAAGAAATTAAGTTATGCCTTTTAAAATTTTCATTTATTATTCAGTAGAGTATTAGGTTTACACTGTCAAAAAAACAATATTATAGAGTTTCTTAAAAATAAAAGTTAATAAAAAATTGCAGGTCCTGGTTGTGGAAAACAATGGAGTATCCTGAAACAAGTTTCTACGCCCAGGGGAGATCAGTCTTATTAATTTATTTTTAATCTACGGAAATACATACAACTTTCTTCTGAAAAATGATACAATGGGACTCCTAAAACGCTGGAACTAAAGTTATTAGTTTAGCTCAATTAGGATGAAACACAGCAATTTTTCAGTGTACAAGGACCCATTTCACTTATTAACTCGATTCTAAAGATACATTTATATATAGATTCCAAAGTTTTTGGATCTAACTTTAGCCTAATTATTCTCTCTTCATAAAAACAATCTATGGAATACTGACCTACTCCCCCCCCCCCCCTTCTAATACCATAACTCATTACTCCAAACCCCCAATTTATCTATAACCGGCCATGTCCGCCAAATTTATATAAGGTCATATAGAACCGAAACTTAACTCCGTTTTCTCTGGATCTAAGGTTGAGAACAAAACTTTTCTCCATGCTTATAAAGGTGTATGCAGTATTTTCTTTAGTCATAGTTTTTATTTCAACAATAACCTTCATCATCTCAACTTTCGAGGTAATCATATCATACAGGTTCATTTTTATCTATTTATATAAAGGAACTGAGCCTTTCCCAAAACCTCAAATTTTTTAATCTTTATATTTTTTAAGCTGATGCTGTAAACCTATAGATTCTTGAAATTTAGATAATATAATCTAACATAATAACTAGTTTCAAATGTCTACGGTCTTCGATATTAGGTGGCAAAGATATACGGATTAGAGAATCAGAGTTTGTGGCAAAGGTTCCTTTTCTACCCCTTATCTTTACTGTCCCTGACGAGGAGATTTATTCTGTTAAACTTTACAAATAATATATACAGGTGTCCCTAAAAATCGTGGTGGTAGCTACAGCCTATTTTTTGAACCAATATTCACGAGTTTAAACATTTTTTATTATTACTAAAATTCTATGATCGAATAGTGTAAACTAGACCATTCTAAATCTTGGTTTTAGATGTTAAGGCTGATGAACTAGGATTATCTGATTATCAACTCTACTCCGGATACTAGATTTTGTTAAACTAAACCTTGGTTTAGGAGGTTAAAGCTGATGAACTAGGATTATCTGTGTATCCTAACCTACTCCGGATACTAGATATTGTTAAACTAAACCTTGGTTTAGGAGGTTAAAGCTGATGAACTAGGATTATCTGATTATCAACTCTACTCCGGATACTAGATATTGTTAAACTAAACCTTGGTTTAGGAGGTTAAAGCTGATGAACTAGGATTATCTGAGTATCCTAACCTACTCCGAATAATCAATGCTGTTGATGTTATTGTTATTATCTACTTCTCTCTCGAGTATATTATTAGGTAGGTTCTTATGAATATTAGGTAAAATCAAACAAACATTCTCAATGACAAAATATAGTGATGACGAGAAAATTCAATAATATATTTTACATATATATTATATATATTAAAAGTATTCTTTCTTTTTGTTAGATATTCCTGTGCTCCGAGAAAATGTACATTCTTCCTGGACGCAATGAACCTTATAGATTTTGTTACTCTGCTTCCCTTCTATATATCCATTATACTAGAGGAGCTCCAAGATTTTGAAATCATTGGTAAAGCTGGGAAAATTCTTCGGCTTCTCAAGGTATAGCTTCTATTTCAGATAATTCAATCACATCTATAATTCAACAATCTTTAAACTTACGGAGTAACCTTTTTACAGTTTTGAGTTGAAAACAAGAAAGTAAAAAAAAGAAAAGGAGAAAAATTATGTTTATTAGGTCAAATTGGGATCGAAAGTCACAGTTCTCTGGGTTAAGGAACAAACCGTTAAATCCGTTTGGTTTGTGAATCTCGGAATCAATCGTTGATTTCCATCTTATGCAATAATCTACAGATTAATTGCATTCGTCTTCGATATCCAAGAATGGATATCTAAAATCAAGGGATCAAGCTAATTTAAAAGTCCCCGCATTGGATATCTAGATCAAGTGTTCAAGATAAAGATACTCAACACAAAAATTCCCACCTCAGTTCGTGATACTAAGCATACCTCAAGCATTTCGAAATACGAATATTGTTTTGGAAATCAATGATAGAATGTTGAAATTTAACATTTTTGTTAGATATTTCTAACATTCTCTTGATTATTTAGAACCAAATGCTCGTAATTTTAAATGCTTTTGGAACTATTTGTTTTTTTCAAATTATGAGTTTATTCATCCTTGAAGTTTGTATTCGATTTGTTTTAAGAATTTGTAAGTAGTATGCAATATTTGTATGCAGTATGCAATATTTGCATGCAGTATGCAATATTTGTTTGCAGTATGCAATATTTGCATGCAGTATGCAATATTTGTGTGTAGTATGCAATATTTGTACGTAGTAAGCAATATTTTAGTGTAGTATGCAATATTTGTATGTAGTATACAATATAAGATAAGATAAGATATAGTTTATTGCTAAAAATACACATACAAGTTATAATGTTAATGGCAAAAAAACTATTTTTATATTGTTTACTATATTTATGTAATTCTAGCAATTAGCAATATTTGTAGGTAATATGCAATATTTGTATGTATCAAAATAAAAGTACATATTCTGTGAAAAAGTGGAGGAATTTCTGATTTGTATTCACATTATTATTCAAGGTTACACACAAAGGATAAGACTTCAGAGACGATTGTATAAAATTTATACTATCTGCTTCCTTATATTCACGATTCGACTTTACAGTTTCTTCCTTTGTGGGTAACCCTGTAATTTGCACTTGTTTTAAAATAATTTTATACCAAATATAATAACAATTGTTTTTAAGGTTATGCGTATTTTGCGGATTTATAAATTGTTCCGGCATTTTGCAGGATTGCAGGTTAGAGTATTCTTTTTAGATAAAAATAGAAATAAAGAAAAATACATTCAATATCAAAGAAATTGATTCTTTGCCACAAACTCTGATTTTCTAATCTTTAACTTTGCAACCTATAAATGTCGTTGCTGACCGTAGATATTTCAAACTATGAACTGTGTTGGATTAAATAATATTTGTTTGAAATATCAAAGGTTTACACCATTAGGTTGCACAGATATAAAGATTCGAGTAGGGGTTCGAGTTCGTGGCAAAGAATGAATTCCTTTTATTTAATTTTAGTCTTTGTTGTACACTCTTCAACAAGCATATAGAGAACTCTGCTTGCTTCTTCATGTTATAGGTTAGTTTCAGAGAAATAGATTTATATTTACATATATATACATATAGAGAACTCTGCTTGCTTCTTCATGTTATAGGTTAGTTTCAGAGAAATAGATTTATATTTACATATATATACATATAGAGAACTCTGCTTGCTTCTTCATGGTATAGGTTAGTTTCAGAGAAATAGATTTATATTTACATATATATACATTTATATACAGTGAGAACCAGAATAGAATGGAATAGAAAGAACACATTAAAGCAATTCTTAACCGTTTTGATGTTGTTTCAAAGCAAATATCTTTACTATTAACACAAACACAATTTAAGTGAAAAGGGTTTATTTACAATGTACAATTGCTATGTCTAATGTTCATTGAACTAGTTTAAGTCCTAACTTGAGTTTAAAAGTTGTCTTCCTATTCCAGAGTTTTCTGGTGATCACTGTACATGTTTATGTTTATGTGTAAATATCCTCTAAAGATAAGTCTAGAACATTTTCTATTGTTTATTAAGATTGGTTATTGCTGGACATGATGTATATTTATAAAACGAGACTGTTCGAATAATTGAGTAAAGTAGGAAGTATACATATTACCCAATGATTGAAAAAACTAGAATTAAAAAAAGGATAAATAATTAAAAACAATCAAAATATCAAAGAAAACCCAAAATCAGTGATGTTTTTTCGGAATATGTAATCCAAAAGCTCTCATCAACTATTGTTACTTTTGTTACCTCCTCCATTGCTCAAATATTTGAACAATCCCTTTAAATATTATTTTGTTGCTAATAAAATGCATTATTTAAGGGGTGGCAATACTAATGTTCAGCAGTCTTGTTTATTTCTCCGAGAAAGAGTTCGGGAAGTATGAACAGTATATTGCTAATACAACCATAGTGGATTATAGCAATAATACTTGGACATTTATAGGTAATAGAATTATACTCTTTATTAAAAACATTTTTTAGCTAGTTCTCATTTTTTTTAAATAACGCATAACATCTTAGAATCGTTTTGGTGGAGTTTGATGACAATAACAACTGTAGGATATGATATGAACCCAAAGGTTTGTTAATTAGCAATTAGGAATATAACAATCTAAATTGTATTAATGGGACTGTAAGCGTTTTTTCAAATGACCTTCTATGCAAAGATGGCAATTCCCGATTCACAACGGAACCCTTAAAACTTTTTCTGATCAAGTATGAATAAAATATTAATGTTCATAATTTTAAAAACAGATTTGTTTCCATGGTCATTTCTCTTTAAATGTGACTCGCGCATTTCTACTGCAAGGAAACATTTATGAATTATCAGAATTAATCACTTTTAAAGGGAGAGTTCGGAAAAAATGAAAGGGGGTATAGGCTTACGTCGAAAAATATCCGATGGTGATTGCTACTGATCTGTTGTGTCTCATATCAATGAACGTAGCATCCATACAAATTCAGAAAGTTGCAATATACGACTCGGATTGTAAAAAATCAATTTAATTCCAAACAAATCATTCAGATATCATCATCATGATCATCGATTTTTTGTTCGGCGCATTCGTATATAGTTGATACTTCATAATATTCTTTATTTGTTTTATATATTATGCAATTTAAACGACGACCAGTTGGCTGGCGTCAAGTGTCTCTGCTCTCGATGTTTCTGCATGGTTCCAGGTGACAGAGACACTAGCGGACAAAAATATCGTCGTTTTAGGAGCATCAAACAAAAAATATTATGAAGTATTAACTTTATACGAATGAGTAGTGTAATCTGAATGATTTGTATGGAATTAAATTGAGTTTCTTTCGATCCGTGTCGAATATTGCAACTTTGTGAATTTGAATGGACGCTACGTTCTTAATTCAGTATGAGTCGTTTTTATCAATTTTCTCCTCTTAGACACAACAGATAGAACTAAGATTAGTAGCAATCACCATCGAATTATTTTCGACGTAAGCCTATACCCCTATCATTTTTCACGCGCGCTCCCTTTAAACCTAGAAAAACGACAATATCTTCCACATTACAGTTGTTAATGGGACATTGCTTTCTTTGCATGGAGGTTCACTTGAAATTACGCTTACCGTTCCTTTCAGATCTGATTCTTCTATATTTCGAAAATAGAAAATTGTTTTTTTTTCAGACAATATTTGGTCGAATCCTCGGCGGATTTTGTGCTGTTATCGGTGTCTTTACTCTCACTTTACCAATACCCATCGTAGTAAACAGTTTTGCCAGCTACTACAAAAACAGGTTTGTTGGTTGTTATAATCTATACAATACTTTTACTTTTAAATTTGAATTTTCCGAAAAAATACTTGTCATATATTAAAGCAGATACGTATATTTCCTATAGAGAGATGTATCCCCCCCCCCTGGGTAATATAGGACAGGAGGGGTTTCCATCAGATCTAATGTTTTCTGCTGACTATTTGGACGAATTTCAAAGTTCCACGGGCAACGTGAGGTACTTCAGCTAGCGTGATATAATTGTAATAATCAAGGTTGTGGAGGAATGAGGTTGCGCACAAGAAGAGAGAGAGAATAAGAGAAGAAGCGTCAAATACAAAATTGCTTCAAAAACAAGCTTTTCAAGTTCTAAATACAATGTCTATACCCCTAGGACAGGTGTAGTTTATCTTTTTTAATACAAATTAAATTTATTTTTAAAAATAATGATGTTTAGATGAATCTTGAGGGTATTGTAAGGACTAACACTAGAAAGGAATTGACAGTTAAGGATCTAACTTCTCTCACCACATCATCATCAGCACCTTCTCTAGCAGATTAGAGATATACCTGCAGAATAATACTAACTTCTCTTACCACATCATCATCAGCACCTTCTCTACCAGATTAGAGATATACCTGGAGAATAATACTAACTTCTCTCACCACATCATCATCAGCACCTTCTCTATCAGATTAGAGATATACCTGCAGAATTATACTAACTTCTCTTAGCACATCATCTCAGCACCTTCTCTACCAGATTAGAGATATACCTGGAGAATAATACTAACTTCTCTTACCACATCATCATCAGCACCTGCTCTACCAGATTAGAGATATACCTGGAGAATAATAATACTTTTAATATAATAATATAATTTTGCTTTATCTTGATCTAATAAAAATATGGTAAATACTGTTAAACATATTTAAAACATATATTTATAAAGAAGTCACGTATGAACAATTTAGATAATACAGATGCAAGCAAAATTTCAGAAAAAAATAAACAATTAAAAAGATTTTTTTAATTTATAATAACATTCAGTACTTAGGAGGTTGTAAACTGTAAAATGTACTTTCATTTAAAAAGTTTGATTGAAGATTAAAGTTTCACCACGTAATGCTTTATCTTAGAATCTACAGGGTCACCCACGAAGTATCAGACTTTAATGACGACCTTAATCTCTTTAATGACGACCTTTTTCTCTTAAAATATGAAAATATTAAGATTAAATATAGTCTTCGGGTTTGAATAGAGTCTTTCTTATGTATGCTGAATGATTTGGCAAAGAAAGTTAGAGAAACAAATTAGAAAATTTCGTATTGATGTCTCTGAAGTCCACCCTATATTTGTGATATTTCTTCACTTTACTTTATGCAAGTAAATTTATATAATAAAGCTCTTCGCTCATATATATATATATATATATATATTAAAATATAAATATATATGTTAGCTAAAGCTTGCTAAACGGCTGAACCAAATTGGCTGATCTGAGGAAACCCATGGGTAAGCAAAGGCTATAAAAATTCGACATCTTATTTCAAAAATCATTTTTTTCTTCTTTAAAATTCGATTTTTTTATTTCACGGGCAACGCTGGTCACATATGCTAGTAGCTACAATAAAAACATCTTTTAATTCAAGGTTATTAAATTACGTTCGCAATCACTTAAAGACTATAGAGATTAGATTGCTTTATCCATGAGAGCAAGAAGATCTTCATCCTCTTCATCCTTCACATCAACTGTCATCTCATCTATTATCTTCTCAAGATCTCCTCTAGTCCGTCCTGATTTCAGATCAATACTCACGTGTTTACTCTCATCCAGGATAGGTGGAGAACTGGAGGAATCATCCTCATCCATCCTCTCTCCTTCGAATAGGTTTAGTTTAAACTCCTTGACACTTGACGAGGTTTCGGTTCCGATTAGTCTAGCGAGTAGGTTCAGCTCCTCCTTAGCTAGAGAACTATCCTCATCCTTTCTCACTAGGTTGGAGGGTTTCTTGGGACTCTCCGGGTCGGAGAGCTGGTCCATCGGAGTATTTTTACCGGAGTACATGTTGGTTCCTAGCGGAGTAGTACGTATATCTCCGATATTTAGTCCTAGCACACCCTCCTCCATACTATATCTAAACACATGAGAACATCAAAACAATGTCGATTATTGCTCGGTAAAATATCTCTTGTTTCAGTAAATCAAACGTAGATTATTCACCTTTCTCCGGGATAGAACTGCTCCCTATCTCTGATTTCTCCGGATCCATCCATAAACCTGATATCTCCGGGAGGTTCCATTCCTGGGCTGAGAGTTGTAGCAGGATATATAACAAACCTAGAAATACAGTTCATTTTTAATTTCTCTTCCAACCCGACCAGAAAGAAAATAAACCTTTGTTAAATCAAAGTTAGATTATCTAATTAGATCTCTCCTACAACATCTGTGAGAACTATTCTCCTTTGTCATGCTACAGAACTTTGGACACATCGAACGTATTTATAAAATGTTGTCTTGACATTTTTTTAAAATGGGTTATATACTATTTTATCGAAATCTCAGTAACTTTAAAAATAAATAAGTAGTCAAGAAATATGCGGAAACAGTCTTAAAGAGCTCCATATAATCATTCAATAAAAAAAACTAAATATCTGCATAATTCCATTATCAGTAGGTTAAGAAAATTTTATTTATTCTTTTGATGTCTAAAAAGTTGTGGGTTAAAACTGTATTTGTATACCTTCCACTTTTATGCTGTAATCCCTCTGCTAGATAGATGGATACCCGGACATGAACATCTTGAAAGAAACTCAGTAGACTGTACCTGAAAACACAAACAAGCAATAAATATCAAGAATTATTTATAATCAATTTGGGAGCAGATTTAATGAATAGCTGGATGAAGATGTGTATCCATGCTAGCTTAAAAGCTTGATATGAGTTAAAATTGAATTCAAAAGTCGTCTTCATTTTAATGATACAATCGCCTACCACCGGACATAAGAGCCTGAAACAAATATTCAGAACTTTATAAACTAATCTATAAAGCGACATTTGACCGAAAAGTTAAAAGATTAAAATTTGATTCCTGATTTATTTACCGAATAGATTGAAGTTCAAACATGGACATCCCTACGTAGTTCTGTACAATATAACGGAATGCAGTCTGAACACTGGTCTTCACCTTAAAATAATTATTCAGGAAACCGTTCATGCAAATTCGAGGCAATAACTAACCTAACTTTGAAAATTAACAAACTTGTTATTTTGATTTTCTTGAAGCTGCAATAAAGTAACTGATCTTTCTCCTAGTTAGTTTAAGGATAATATTACCTGTATTAAAGTAACATGGTTTAGTATTGAATCAAGATGATTCAAGGATAAGATTACCTGTATTAAAGTAACATGGTTTAGTATTGAATCAAGATGGTTTAAGGATAATATTACCTGTATTAAAGTAGCATGGTTTAGTATTGAATCAAGATGGTGTAAAGTTAATATTACCTGTATTAAAGTAACATGGTTTAGAATTGAATCAAGATGATTCAAGGATACGGATATTAGATGGCAAGGGTTCCGGCACATCAAAACCTAAATAACATCATTTATAAAGTAGTAATGTTTGTTTGTTTGTGTGTTCTCGTGATCATACCTAGTAAACACCTTGACCAATTTGTCTCAAATTTGAACTGGGGAACTCGGTAGAACCATAGAAATGTTCTTAGCTTGGGTTAAAGATTCTAAGTATGAGCTGATAGACTTTTTTGGGTAAAGTTAAATTTCCAGGCATAACTGAGTTCCCGAGCTATTATTTTATATAAATCTAAAATGATATTTAAAAACGTATTAGCTTTTTGATTTATTTTCCAAAGAATGAAGATTACTATCATATATTTTCACAAAATGTCGAAACAAACATCAAACATCAAACATAGTCAAGTTTCTTAGAAACAAACAACAAACATTTCATAGTCAAGTTTCTAAGAAACAAACGACAGAATTTGAACCGAGAGAACTGGTTTGATTACTTTACCTGGTGTTTGACCGCCATGGTCATCAGGTCATACAGCTTATCCATACTAGCAGGGTTTAGTTTCATGATGGAGGCATGCGCCAACTTTGAAAACATTGTTTTCATTACTTTCCTAAATTATGTTAAACGGATTGTTCACACTTTAAATCACGATCAGAGCTCAGAACTATGAACTAATGGATGAAATGAGTTTAAATCGTTCCTTCCCGGCTGGAGGAGGAATAAACCAACTCTTGTTCGATGAAAACCTTCGCAAAAAAAGACGAGTATAATAAAGGATAAAAAAATAAAACGAAATATTAAAGCATAGCCTTTTTCATGTTGTTGTCACGAATAAAGAAAAAAGCTACAAGCCTCCATAATAACGTGAAACATATTTTAGTACGACATTTTCTCACTTAGCGACTTTTTTTTATGGGTTGATGTTTAGTGAATATACCTGGAGTTATAGGTTGATATTTAGTGAATATACAGCTAGAGTATATAGGTTGATATTTAGTGAATATACCTGGAGTATATAGGTTGATGTTTAATGAATATACCTGGAGTATATAGGTTGGTATTTAATGAATATACCTGGAGTATATAGGTTGATGTTTAGTGAATATACATGGAGTATAAAGGTTGATATTTAATGAATATACCTGGAGTACATAGGTTGATGTTTAGTGAATATACCTGGAGTATATAGGTTAATGTTTAGTGAAAATACCTGGAGTATATAGGTTGATATTTGTGAATATACCTGGAGTATATAGGTTGATGTTTAGTGAATATACCTGGAGTATATAGGTTGATGTTTAGTGAAAATATCTTCAATAAACTTGTTGTTAAACATTGTAGAAATAATATCGTTCATCACTTTTCCAGATTTCTCTGAATCAACACCCTGGTAATATTTAATCTTCTTTTTAAATGTTAAACTGATTGTTACATTTTTTAAGAAAATGAATGTTTTTAATTTAATTAAAAAGATATGTTGCATGTTGTTTAAAAATGCGTTAAAGCGTTGTATAATGGGCGTTTGCGAAAAAAAAAACAAATATAGTGTTAGTTTTGTATCAACGATTTCTCGAAATTTTTGTAATTCACTAAAAATGTTTGGATTATTTTTTCTTAAAGTTGAGCATAATTTATAAACCCTTCCAGCAAATCCGAGGGTCACGTTTGGCGTTTGACGAAATCTGACAGACTTTAATTTTCATGATTTAGTCATATCATATATATGTGGCATGTGGTCACTCATTTCTATCAGCTCAGTAAAAATTATTTTCCTACTTTCACGTCAAAACTCGCAATTTCATTGTTTTTCTTCATACATAGGAAAAAATTATGAACTGTTTCAACCCAAAAAATATTTGAATCTTGAAAAAATCTTTTTTTCAATTGTTAAAATATTTTTTATTGCACCTGTGCATGTAGTCTCTGTTGTAGAACGTAGAGCATTTCTCCCCCCAGGTTTACAAACAGGAGAGGTAGGGTTCGCTGGGACATACTGATTCTTTAAACAGATTCTTAAGAAATTGAGTCTTTGCCGCAAACTCAACTTTTGTAAAGAACCGATAAAAAAGATCTTAAAACCTTTCAACGAATTTTTAATTATTTTTATGGGATTTTACATGTGTATGCAAACCACAAAATTAACTTTAAATTTTGCAGAAAAATAAAACAGAAAACAGCGGGATTTTGTCGTCTTTGCTCCTTGGTTTTATCAAAAGAATATCACTTTACGGATTTCATTAAAAGGATGTTAATCTCGCCCCGAACTAACGAGAGAGAAGCTTTCGGTTTCTTTTATTTGAAATCAAACGTGTTTTCGTCAATAACTCAACATTCTTTAGACTTACAGATTTGTTTGTTTTATACTTTTTCATTTAAAATGTATATACCAACAAAAAAATATTTAAGATAAAAATTATGTAAAAGGGGTCAAATTGTGATCGAAAATCACAGTTTTCTGAAATATTGACAGAACCGTTAAATCCACGTGATCTGAGAACAATTTTCAAAAATATTACGCCTTTATTTCATCAGAAATCTGATAGTTGATTTCTGAAAGTACCTTGTTTCAAAATTTTTCAGATAAAATCGGGGATATGTCAATAATCACTAGTTAAATCCGAGTTAAAAGAGTTTTTGCCACAACTCAAATTTTCTAATCCCTTTATCATTGCAACTTTATGGTGTAAACTTTTGATATTTTAAACTTAGACTTTTTGATCTAACAAAATTCATAGTTTAAAATATCAAAGGTCTACGATCGAAATTAGGATGTGGCAAGAACTCAGTTCCTTTATAGAAAACGTTATAAGCTATCTTACTTTATCTGAGAAACTTTATATAAGGTATCAGAAAAGATATCCTACATACTTATCTGAAAAAATCAACTTTTCCGATAAAAATATCTCCAAAAGCATAACTGGTACTAAATATGTCTTAGTGTTTTAAGTGCAGAAAACTGTTTATTTCGTAGAAATGATATTTTTACGCGGTTGGCTGTAAATGGTTTGTTTTTATGAGAAAGTTTAAGGAAGTATTTACTCCGAGAATGAGGTAGAGTAGGTAGAGTAGACAACTCCTTTCTCCAGGTAGGTAGAAGGCCAGGGAGGAGGTAGAGGGACCGGGAGGAGGGATTTAATAAGAGGGATTATATTACAGTTATATTCCATGGAATAATCACTTTTTATGTTCTTAACTTTTTATATGTATGTAAGTACGTGCTTTTTTACAATTTCATAACATATAAAGAATAAGACTGTAAAGACGACTTCAAACTCTTAAAATATGGCTATTCTAAGTTTATATTAAGTCTTCCTTTTTTAGTGTGGTCTTTAAAAGAAAGAAAGAAGTTTCTTGTTACAGGGAATCTTAAATGTATATATTCTAGATCCCCTTATAAGGCTTTATATTGCAACAGACAGTATACTTTTTTTGCAGTCGTATCTGAAGTCTCATCCTTTTAGGGTATCCCTGTATACATATAATAACAAACTAACTTTTTTACATAAAAATAAATTGCCCCCACACCTTTTCTATTTGTATTCAGATAGAGAACTACAGTTTTAAAATTGTATAATAAACAATATCAATAACTAGCTGAAGTGCCCGGCGTTGCCCGTGGAATTTTTTTAAATCGAAATTTTAAAAAAATGTTTGATTTTCGAAAAAAAATAATCGAATTTATACAGAAAAAAATTTCGATTTTATTTTAGCCTATGTTCGGGGGAACTTAAGGGTTTCCTCAAAAAAAATTCAGCCCATTCGGTCCAGCCGTTTGACCAGCTATAGCTAATATATATATACAAGCGAAAAAAATTACCAAATGGCCCGTCATTGCCCCTGAATTTTTTTAAAATCAAATTTTGAAGATAAAAAATTTGATTTAAAAAATTACGTTTTGAAAAAAAAACGAATTTTTTAAGTTCCCTTACAAAAGTTCAGCCAATTTGGTCTAGCCGTTTTGCCAGCTATAGCTAGCGTATACATATGAGCGAAGAGCTTTATTATATAGATAGATTTATTTATTTAATTTGGTAAATGTAAAAATATCACCGTCAAAAAATATTTGGCAAATTTTTAATATAAAACTGAAAAGCAAAACAAATTCTTTTCGTTGAAATGTTTTAATTGAGTCTTTGTCACAAACTCAAATTTTCTCATATCTTTGCAACCTGATCGTGTAAACCCTTTAATATTTAAAACTTAATTTATTTTATCTAACAGAATTTTTTAAGGTTAATTTATCAAAGGTCTACAGCATTGGGTGGCTAAGTTACAGTGATCGGAAAATCAGAATTTGTGGCAAAGACTCAACTCCTTTGTTTGACTTTTCTGAATCCTGCAATTGAGTTTTTTTTAAAAATATATTAAGGATAATTGTAGTAATAATCTTTGAAGATCTGTTGAGCTTGTTAGTGTTTGCGTAAACATACACGTGTTTTTAAAGATATATTATGATAATTGTAGTAATAGTCTTTGAAGATCTGTTGAGTTTTTTAGTTTTTGCGTAAACATACACGCGTTTTTAAAGATATATTATGATAATTGTAGTAATAATCTTTGAAGATCTGTTTAACTTGTTAGTGTTTGCGTAAACATACACGTGTTTTTAAAGACATTACCGTTTACTTTTTGCATATTTCAGCATGTTTCAGCATGATTTTTTAATTTAAAACTTCAACGTTAAAACAAAATCCGGTGATCATGTTTCTCTTTTTGCAAAATATGCCTAGTTTAATTATTTAGAAAACCTTTAAAATTATTTTAAATGAATGTAACAATATTCATTTAAGAATGTCTAAATGATAATGTAATAAAAACCAAAAAAAGAAGGGTTAATAAAGTTGGTTTTATGTTTTCTACACTTTGCAATAAAACCTGAAAAATGTACATTTAAACTTAGCTATTTATCATTTTAAACCTAACTTGAAATATACAAACAAGCCCTTAAATATAAAAATCAAACTCCCGGAACAAAAGTATGTAATTTCCCGATTTTAGAAAATAACAGGATATAAACATAAAGATTTCCCAGCCAGAACTTTGATTAATTATGACTGTGTTTGACGAACTATATATCTTTCTAGATTCTAGGTATATCTAGCTGCCAGTACTAGAGGGGTTCAATGTAGCAGAACATGTTGTACTGGGACGCCTGGATAATTATGAGATCTAGGGAATTCAGAGGTTCAAGAGAAACAATCTAAGCTCAGGGTTTATAACACGGTACAATCATGTCAGGATCAATAGTTCACATTTAACTCCGACTTCAAACAGAAGAAAACCAATATATATATTATATTCAACTGAAGAATATTCAATCAATCAATGAGTATGAAGACAATTGCTTTATCCAGGATTGTACTTTTCAATATTCCTATTGTATTCTCAGCATCCTTCTCTTCTTACAGAAACCTGGAGTACATCAGACCTGCTGCAGAACTCATCTCACGTTCTTTTAATTCTCCAATCAGAACGAATAACCAAGTTCTCTCCAGGTACGGGTCCAGGAATGATCAGTATGATTTCTCCAAGAGGGATTTAGAAACCATTCGTAGTGTCGAGTTCCCAGGAGTAGGAAGAGAACCCTCTGATTCAGATTCAGGTTATGACCGAGAAATGAAGCAGGAGTATGATATCCATGACGAGCGGGAGTATGGTGTGCATGACGAGCGGGAGTATGGTGTGCATGACGACCGGGAGTATGATTGGAATAATAAAGAATCAGAATTTACTCCTAGTACTCCAAGACCTATTCAAACCCCCACACAGAGCTCCATTCCTACTCCTAAGCCAAGAATATTAAGGTTTACATGTGCAGGATACAGTATAGAGTGTGAGGAGAGTAAGAATGGGTTGGAATCTATCAAGTATCCGTATAGATGTAAAATAGATCGCAATACTTACTCCTCCTTCAACTCCAAAAGAACCATCTATAGAACATCATCTGCTTGAAAACTCTTAGATTATATGAAACATGGAATAAAACAAATGTAATATTTATGAATTTTTCTTAATTATTTTTAAAACTGCGCATACTTATTAAATGTGCTCTGCACCCCCACAAAAAGAGCAACCTTCCGTTCAGGGGGTTCATTTGTCATATTTGGACATCAAACATGGGATTTAGGGGGGGGTGTACAAGACCCCCCCCCCCCCCAGCATATCCTGGTTTTCAAATACCCCAGCAGAGATAGGGTTAAGCCGTTTTCTGATAATTGATGACGTAACAATCCATATTTTCTAACTGATAAGTTATTTAAATTTTTAGATAGGAAAATAAGGATATCATACATCTTTAATCATACAAAAGGATATAGTTGTCAAATAGATAAAAAAAAATTGAAGACAATTTTAATTCTGTTGCACTGAAGTCCTATATCTCTCAGAGGCGCAACTAGGGGAGAAAGGACCCGAGATACTCAGAGGTGTAACAGGGGTGGGGCGGCCGGGCGCACACCCTCCCCTAAAACCTGAGAGGGCTTCCCCCCCCCTGCTGCAGAATGAAAAAAAGAATGGCGAATATCAGTTTAACAGGAATAAGAAAACCAATAGAGTTAATGTTGAAAATATGCTCTAGTTAGTTAAACATATTTTTATCTTTCTCAATTCTCAAGGCTAAAGGCTATTGCAAACATTTAATGTAAAGCCAGAGATAAGAGAGTTACAGAGATCGATTAACACCTATAATATGCGATATTTTCAACAGTATGTTCTATTGTGTATACAAGTATAACTGTACACGACCAATCAGGAGACATCTGTATTCAGGGATATTTAAGGATCCTTTGAATACGAAATGCGAAATCTTTAAAAATAGACAATATTCATAAACGTTATGTTTTATGTTTAAAATTGGAGTATTTCTTTAAAAGTTGTAAAACTTAACCCCTGAATGCAACAAATGGCTGAGAGATGTCAGTCAAAAAATATTACATGGAACCGTAACATGGCGTGCCAGGACACTATAGGCCTGCTCAGTCTATCCAGGTAGAGTGTATGAGCAGTCTGTGTAGTCTGTGTTCCGAGCTGTATTGTATTTGTGTTGACTGTTGTTAGCAAAGTCTTTGGTTGTTAGTACATAGAGTCAAACTGTATATATGTACTTAGAATATACTGATCTAAGTTCTAACTAGATGTCCACCGGATGGTTTTTACAGATTTTTTCCACAAACTCTGATATGTTAATACCTTTATCTTTGCAACCCAATGTCGTAGATTTGAAACTTTGAATTCTCTTGGTAAAATAATCTACGTTTGAAATATCAAAGGTTTACACTACTCGGTGCAAAGATTTAGGGATTAGAATATATTTGAGTTTGTGGCAAAAACTCAGTTCCAAATCTAGTAAACATTCTGAACCTGGCAAATTTCTAACTGATTATCATATTCATAACTAACAAAATTTATCTTCTTTGACAGAACTTCTAAAAAATCTAAAATGAAATAAGACTATGAATGTTGGTTAGAATGATCAATCATAAATTCAATAACTTCAGGAGAAAACGTAACATTATCTGTCCTTTTTCAATGTAGATCATTAAAATTATGCATCTGTTTTACACAGACTTGAGACTATTAATGGGTTATACGTTTTTTTTTTTCAGAAAATATAAATGATTATTCATGTAATTAAATCTGTAATTAGGTTTACTTAACAACTTTTCTTTTGCGCTTCACGCACACATTCAACCAATTGACTCATATAGTTCATTTTCACAAGAAAAAAGACGATTTGAATTGAATACAGCCAAATCTGCAACAATTGAAAGTTTCATTTTTTCGACTTCAAACCCTTAAAAACGCATTTTATATTGAACAGTTTTTCGAAAAGAGAGGGGGAACGCCCCTCCAGACCATTACAAAATAAATTCCCCCCTCCCCCATAGCAAAAGTGCTAGTTGCGCCTCTGGAGATACTAAATATATTCTAAAGATTGTACGACTGTAAAAAAACATGAAAACTGCGGATTTAACAGATTATTTATTTTCTCCGTTTAATTTCCCCACTTTACACCCTACCCCGGATATACTAGAAAAATAAACAATCTGGAGTCATGTCTATTAGTATCTATATACCTTTTTATCTATCTATTTATCTTTCTATCTATATATCTATCTATCTTTCTATCTATCTATCTATCTATCTATCTTTATATCTATCTATATAGCTAGATATCTATCTTTTGAGCTGGAAAGAAGACTATATGTTTAGAAAACAGCGTGACTGATAAAACATTAGATTTAAATTACGTTTCTCAAATCGTCTTCAAATCGTCTGTGACCTACAATTATATTTTTCGTGAGGTATTTTAGTCATATTATAATATAACAAACAGAAGTAATAACATCCAAAAAATTGAAGTTTCCTAAAATTTGGGCTGACTTCTGTATCATAAAAATTGACAGAGATTTTAGACCTTATTTAATATATCAAAATGTTTTCCAAGAAAGCAGACCACAATTTGAAAATGCTTAACATAAATACATTTCTCTGATTTCTTATTTAATAACGATAATTAAAGATGAATGGCAAGTTGTCTCTTAATTCTCATGTTAATTGGCAAACCCTGAAGTTCTCGTACTGCAATGTTTTGATTTGTTTATAAATTATACTAATTCTACGCAGTATCTGTTCAGTGTTTATAAATTATACTAATTCTACGCAGTATCTGTTCAGTGTTTAAGCACATGTTAGATAGATAATTATTTTCTTACACTTTTTATCCATCTACATTGTTTTTTTTGTTTCGTTTTTTTCTTGCCATCATATTTTTTTATAAAGCTTTTAAAAACTTTTATTTGATTTGATTTGATACTTCCTCATTTCTATTTCCTCTATTCTGTAATCGGGAATTACATGTTTCATAATTTTTTAAACATTCATTATATTTTAGAAACCATCCTCATTGCATTGATACGAATGCATTTCAGTCATCCATTTATTTCTCTTTTAAAGCTTTATTTCTATATCTATATATATATATATATATATATATACATATATATGAATGACTGGTCTGCTTGCATTTATGTCATAAACTTTCAAACGGCTGAACCGATCGGGTCCACATTTTTTAGGAAAGGTCGAAATTGAAATTGTGTATGGAGAAAATGTCGACTTTTGACCTAAACAGACAAATCCACGAAATTTTTTTATTTGAGATTGATGAAAAAATTTAGTTAAAAAATAAGATTGTTACTAGAAAAGGGGTGCGACGCACCCTATAAGCCTAGTCCTAGAAATGACATTTTAACTAGTCGTTACCACCCCCCGTACCCCCTTCACACACACCGATATAAAAATAAATATGATCCTAATATGTGATCAATGTCAAGGTTTACTAGTTCTAAAATCTTGAAAATCTGTAGAGCTCTGAGATTGCTTTTATGATGTTAGAAATCCGCTAAGGTGCTAAATCTGAGTTTTTATGGGAAGGGGGGGGGAGGAGGGGGTGTTAAAAACAACACATTTGACACATGTTATTTGTTAGCTTCAATTATGACATTTTTATATCAGTAATCTTAAAAAAATTATGTTAGATTTATTTTCGCGCGCTTTTGTGCGTGTATGTCTCAAGGCTGAAGTTACACTAGGCTGTGTTCTGCTGGACAGTCTCTGCTCTGACCGGCCACAGTCACCGCGCTCTCACAATCTCTCAAACTCTCTTTAGTTACTCTCAGTACATTGAATCAACACAGGCACTAATCACGGACTAATCTCACACTTTAGGATGAATTTATCAGATCTCGTCCCTACACCCTGCTACAGCCGAGTTGGTCATTGTGTCTGCTTGATGATAAAGTGACCTGCTCAGCAGTTATAATACATAAACATCTAGCACACCAAACTATTCTGTAAGTGATCATGTGCATATATTGAGTCTTTTTAAAGTGTAAAGAATGCCCCTTAACCGCAACTATGGTGGCTACAGTAACAGCTATGGGAGCAGCAGCTACTCAAATTACAGTAGCTTCCCCAAGTACAGCTCCGGCTATGCAAGTACCTACGGGTTACGGAGTGGAAGCTCATCTCCAGCTCTGGTTAGATCATCCACACCATCCTACAGAGAACCCTTCTCCTACAACAACAGCATCATCAACAGTGTGGTCCCGGAGGAGAAGAAGGTTGATACTAGACCTAGCACCGGGTATACCAGATACACTACTGATTACTACTCCCCATATTCCAGATCATATCTATACACATCAGAGGCTGAGAAGAGAGAACTAAAGACAATAAAAACTGAGGAAATAGATACTACAGATGCTAGGAAAACTGGCAGAGATTACGCAATCCCAGGTGAGATCACGCGAGATACAACAGTTAACCTGCCAAGGGGGAAAGCTGTTGTGAGAATGGTGACTCAAAAATTAAAAGAAAATCCATATTTATCCACTCTAATTCTCGACAAAGAAAATGATCCTAAAAAACTAACTCTAGGTCAAAGATTAGCTTTGAAATATCAGATAAAAGAGAAACCTAAACCTAAACCTCCAACCCCACCTAAACCTGACTCCGGAGAGGAGAGTGAATGGACCTGGGAATCATATTCCTCTTCGGACGAAGAATCCACAGTTCCAAAGAGTCCATCCAAAAAAGATTCTCCAGTATCAAAAAGAGAGTCTCCTCCAGTGTCTGAAAAGAAACCTCTAGTAAAAAAGAAGTCTCCAACCCCTCCCAAGTATGTATCCAGTGTTCTTGCTCAGGCTAGAGCCATCACACAGAAGTACACAAGGTCCAACACAACTACAATATGTAGTGCAGAGGAACCATCTGCTCCTAAACCTGAGGGAAGATCATCTGCTAATAAATGGTTGGAAGCTCTCAATGCAGACACTAAACCCAGGACTCAGCAGAATACAACCAGAATTCCAAATTTTGGAAAAGCAGTTGCAATGAACAGAAGTTTGTTAGGAAACAAACTGCAGGAAGAGCAGAGTAAGGTTGAGAGTCCAACTCTTCAAGTGAGATCTAGTAATTCTAGACCTCTCTCCTGGGCAGGCAATCAGTATAGTTTAGATACAAAACCTGAGGAAAATAACAATTTTTCAAGAGATATAAGAAGTGTATCCAGAGATACTTCTTCAACCTCCAAGGAACCGTTAGGATCATCAAGTAAATCTACCAGTTACTCTAGCTACTCCAAGGAACCTGTCAGTTACTCCAGATACTCTAGTATACCCAGGGAACCAGCAAGCTATATTACTACTGAATCTATGTCCAAAGGGAAGAAATCCCCGAAGAAAGAATCAGATTCATCCTCCACTTCCTCCTCCTCTCCACCCTTGTACAAATACAGAAAACCTCAACGGTACAAGGGTGCAGGATCTCAGTACATGTACAGTAGTGATGAGGAGTCTCCAAGGGATTCCTTAAACCTAGGCTGGAGAAAGGGTCAACCTCCAAGAGGAGATGTTGTTGTCAAGCTGGGAAATAATAAAAATAAATCTGTGATAGAACCCGTACATTCCAAATCAACCTTGGGCAGAAGTAGTTACACAAGTATTTCTACTTCAGCTTCAGCATCTACTGAAGCAGCATCAACTGTAGCAGCATCAACAGTAGCTGTTAACTCGGCAGCAGCAGCAACTGTTAGCTCGGCTATATCCAGCAGAGTTCCAGCATCAATGCAGGAAAGATATCAAATCCCAGGACTATTTATTAAACCAAGCACGAAAACTCAACCAAAAAGTGTGAAACCAGTAGCTTCCAAATCTGAAGTAAGTTTACCTGTCTCTAAGACAGCTCCAACCAAAGAGGTATCTGATGAAGAATCCGAATGGGAATATTATACAGAAACTGAAACCTCTGATTCAGATAAGAATGATGAGGAGACAAAGAACATTAAAACTAAGGTTGACACTGCCTCATCCTTATTGGATAAGAAAGCAGGTTTAAATTCCTCTCAAGCAGGAAGCATTGAATTACCTGACTCTAAGCTGCCTGCATATAAAGCTCCCCCTGTAAAGGTTAATCTGGAGATTACTCCGGTTCCAGTTCACCAGAAGCAGAATATAACTCTTTTATCCATACCGGAGAAAATACAGGAAAAAGTTGAAAAAATATACATTTCTCCAAAATCAACAAAACCTGGGATAGATAAACCTAAGGATTCAAACCAACATTCCGATCTTGAAACTCAAGTTAAACCTGACGAAAACACTAAGAGTACTGCAAATAGTTCTAGGTTAATACTTGATGTCAAAGAGACCGGTTTAAACAGGGATATTAAGATATCTGAACCTAAAATTACTAAACCATTATCCAGTGCGCCCACAGTAGAAAATGATCATGAATTAAACCAAACCAAGATTAACAGTTTATCCAGCTCTGCTAAACCTCACACTAGAGAACAGGATGCAAAAGTACATTCAATATCAGTTAACCCCATGAAAAAGATCCTTGACCAAGGATCCATAAACTTGTCAACATCCAAAACAAAGGAAAAAACCCCAGACAAACAAACGATAAATGTTACCTCAACTAAAGCTAAAGACAAACTAATACCACAGAGCTCAGAGCAAGAAAACTTAGGCGCTATTTCCAAAAAGGCTGAACACAAGGTTGTAGAAAAAAAGACGGACAAAGTTTCCAACTCAAAGGATATAGTTAAAATAACGCCCAACCTCTTAGAGAATGAACCCCCTAGTAGTATTTCTGCCAAACCAAAGGAAAAAAATACATCAAAAACTGGTTCAAAAGAAACCAATAAGGTTGCCAAAACTAAGGCTGAGGAGAAGGTTCCAGAAAAGAGCAATGACAAAGAATTCTCTAAGAACACTTCAGCTGAGAAAAAAGAACCTACAAAAGCAAAAAAGCTTGTCAAGGAACCTATCAATGTCTACCCAAATAATAACTTATATCAAGAACATTCTAACATTACCATAAAAAATTCAGAAGAAAAGCTTCCTGTCAAATCAGAACTGGATCTCCTTGATATTTATAAATCCAAGGCCAAGAAACAAATTCCAGTAAAAACTGAAACCAAGGGGCCTGAGATAAATACTGAAAGTACACTTGTGAAAAAAGTAAAAACTAAAGCTGAACTAGTGTTTTCAAAGCAAGTGGTTGATGTAAAGGAAGATATTATCAAACCCGAAGCAGTTACGCCTTCAGACGCTCCTAAGCAACAGGAAAAGGTGAAAAGAAATGCTGTAGATCTGAAAGGAGTAACTGCTAAACCTGATTTCTACCTCCTGGAACCTAAATCTGGACCTGGAGAGAGCAGGAGAACAGGACAGGATATGTTGAGTGAAGGATCTGACTCCTGTAGAACAAGTACAACAGCGTCAAGAGAATTGAGTCCGACCAATGGATTTATGCCAACTACTTCTCTTGAGAGATTACCTCCCTCACTGTCAAACCTGTTTTCACAAACACCAACACAGGGATGCAGTACACAATTACAAACATTAAACTAAACTCAAGTTCTATTCATCTAAAGTAACTGAATACTAGCCTTAAACTCAAATTTGCCAATCCTTACATCTTTGCAGCCTGATGTAGTAGATCTTTTTGTAGAACATTTAAAAAAAACTTTAAACTATTTTGTTGACACTTAAAGGCTCTGTGTTGTGTCTTATCTTGATTTTGCTTTAATTTAATTCAAATTCAAAGCATGCAGACTGCAGAGTTTGTTTTACCCTGCGTCACAGATATCTGTAAAACAAAAACTGCTCTTGTATTCAAAAGACAATTGTTTCTGAAGTCCGAAGGTGTAAAGGGGGGACGGGGGGGGGAGTCAAGCTAAATGGGTCAGACTTAGAAGGGTCAGGTGACTCAGTGTCAACATTGTTTACATTTACCCCATTTATTTTTTAGTGTCAGGTATTAGATAATCATCTAGTTTTGCACTCGATAAATATCTCCAAGTATATAACTGTACTGCATATACAGAGTAGTTGTACAGACACGGAAGATGAAAATGAACGTCCGTCCTGGTTCAACAATGCTCCAGTTCAGGATACTGATCATGTAAACCCTATGTCAGCTTTGAAAGCTATGAAAGCTGATACCGCTGCACAGAAAACATACGTAGATAAACAGGAGAAGAAACTTATTAAAGTATCTAAGGAGGGTTGACATGATTTATCTTCTGTAAAGTGAGAACAATGCAATCATCATAAAGCCAGAGATCGGAACTTTTGTATTATTAATCCCTTCAATCTGAAGATTAAGTTATATCTTTTTAAATATCCTTGTAGATACGTGACTCAAGCAAATAATTGGGTTTCGTCTGCTATAAACATTTAACCAATCAGAAATACGAGTACTTGAAAGCTTTGAATTTAAAGATCGAGTTCAGCAGAGTAGCACTACATCATACAAAGGTCCGATCTTTGTTTGTTTATTTATCTGACAATTCTGTTGAATAAATATGAGATAAAACAACCAAAAAGGAGCTAACTGAGTTTTTTTTTGCCGAAAGCTATGAATTTTTAATCCATATTCTTTTGGAACCCGATGTTCTAGACATTTGATATTTAGATCTGTTAGATCAAATAGTCTAAGTTTGAAATATCAAATATTTACACCATCAGGTTTCAAAGATATATGGGTTAGAAAATTTGATTTTGTAGCAAAAACTCAATTCTTTTCTGTTGTAATTTTTAAAGATTAAAAAGATGAACCTTGACCTGTAGGCAGCTGAGAACCCCTGGTATGATGATGATGAAGATGATATGAGAGAACTATTGAAGAACCGTCCAACTATTCTTCAGGTAAAGAGCTGAAAACTTTTGAATTTTGGATATCAAGATCAATGCTTGATCTCCTCTTTTTGTGAATCTCAAGGTTAATTTAATCATTAGTTTGTAGCCTTTAAAGTGGAAAAAATTCAACCAATCAGAGTGTTGATTACAGAATTCGAACAGCCATTCAGAAGCCAAGAACATTTGAAACTTTGCGCGCTTTTAATGGTTGAATCCAGTTGGGAAATACAAAATAGAGGATTAAGCATAAAATCAAAAATGTCGACAGTGGATAAAGAGATTTAGGAAGCAAGATCCAATACAAGAGTTGTCAGCTCTGATCATGTATCAATCATATATTAGATTTTAATAAAGAACATTGATTTTTATTTCCAACTATTTTTCATCTTATTTTTAAATTCACTTTTCACTTTAAAATGGCGACAAATGAACTCATATTAAATGATAGAACATGAATACTTCGGAATTAAACTGGTATCACAAAGACGTTGTGATTGTTAGTATAAATTCAGAAAAGGAATTCGGTCTTTGCCACAAACTCTTATTTTCTAATCCCTATATCTTTGCAGATCAATGTAATAGACCTTATATATTTTAATTTATGAATTATAATTCTGTTGGATCGAATCTAATTTGAAATATCAAAGGTTTACATCATCGGGTTGCAAATATATAGGGATTAGAACATTTGAGTTTGGGGCAAAAACTCAATTCCTTTGGTAAATGGTTAACCATAACGTGCAACTCACCGGTACTTTACTAGTAAACTGAAAACTTCTTCCTTCTTAGCGTCTATATTTACAAAGTAATCTCTGTTTGTTTGTTTTTCCGATCATAACTTTGGAACCGATTTGCCTCAAATTTTGATTGGGGGAACTCGAGAGACCGACGGGTTTAAGATTCTAAGTTGAGTGAATCTTTTTTTAACGGTAAGAATAGTTAAAATCGTAAGTATACGACAAGTGGTGAGTAAGCTATGTGACTAACTATGACTCCCCTGGGCCACGCTAGTAACCTATAAAACATTGTATCACTCAATCCAAACATGTCAGACTTTTCTAATGATGATAATTGTTTATTACGTAGCAACGTTTACTCCAGGAGGTTGATCGGGATCAGAACCGTCGGCTCACAGTCGAGGAGAATATGGCCGTGGTAAAGATGTATGGTGGAGTAATGTTCCCTGACGGAGATATGGTTACCACTCCGAAGAGTTTACTCTACAAGGTTCGGAACAAGGACAGCGTTCAACCTTTAAGCAATAGATGTTCAGCTTCGTCTTCTATATCTAGTAAGTTTAAAGGGACCAGTTTTATCTTCTATATCTAGTAAGTTTAAAGAGACCAGCTTCATCTTCTATATCTAGTAAGTTTAAAGGGACCAGCTTCATCTTCTATATCTAGTAAGTTTAAAGGGACCAGCTTCATCTTCTATATCTAGTAAGTTTAAAGGAACCAGCTCAGAATGGTACTTTTATAGCCCTTTAAAATAAATTATTTCTTTCTATTAGAAAACCGCAATTAAAAATGATTAATTTTCAGATAGAAAAACTAGAATAACTTCATCAATTTTGATCAGATACCATTGTGAGCCAGACGTAAAATATTTTAAATTAGGGAGTCCCTTGAAACAACATTAATTGTTTCTGTAAGAAAATTTTACAGCAGAAGCCTGTTTTTTAACATCAGTTTCCCCTTTTACCTCTCTTCTCTTTTACCCCCCCCCCTTGTTATGCCTGGAGTTAAAACAATGTTTACGGTTTTCTAAAAGATCTAAATTTAATCATTGAAATATAAATACTTGTTTAACAATTACAATGATTACTCATTACACACGTAAGTTAAGTAACTCTGTCCTATACGCTTTCAAAATGTAGATACAAAATTAGATTTAGCTGCACAGAAATAAAGCATAAAAATATTTGGATTCAACTATTTGCTTTTGAAAACATCATTACTTATCTTTGCTTTCCATGAAAGACAGTTAATTATTTTCAACATTTGTTAGTCTCTAACTCCTTCTTGGCTTGTTCGCAGTATGAGGAGAATTAGCTATATAAATAAATATGACTTAAGTCTGTATTCTTAGTCAGGTTGCATTCTACATAAACATGCATTCTTGTATCCTGTCTCAGGAGGGGGGTTGGGGGGTTGGAGGGAAATATTAGAGGGTGGGGAATATCATTTCCCCATCGGTTAGTAGATAAACGAATTCTGTTTAAACTGTTTAAATTACTGTGAATATACTCCCTTGAGAGGAATAGTTGTGAACATGAACCTCAATCCTGATTTGTCAATACATTCTTATATATCCGTCCTTATCCCTTCTATTCTACATTCTAATATATCCTTCCTTATCCCTTCTACTCTACATTCTTATATATCCTTCCTTCTCCCTTCTCCTCTACATTCTTATATATCCTTCCTTCTCCCTTCTCCTCTACATTCTTATATATCCTTCCTTCTCCCTTCTCCTCTACATTCTTATATATCCTTTTCCCTTCTCCTCTACATTCTTGTATACCGTTACTCCGTCCTTCTCCCTTCTCCTCTACATTCTTATATATCCTTACTCCGTCATTCTACCTTCTCCTCTACATTCTTATATTAGGAGAATATACAAACCTTACTCCGTTCTTCTCCCTTCTCATCTACATTCTTATATATCCTTACTCCGTCATTCTCCCTTCTCCTCTACATTCTTATATATCCGTACTCCGTCCTTCTCCCTTCTACTCTACATTCTGATATATCCTTACTCCGTCCTTCTCCCTTCTCCTCTACATTCTTATATATCCTTACTCCGTCATTCTACCTTCTCCTCTACATTCTTATATTAGGAGAATATACAAACCTTACTCCGTTCTTCTCCCTTCTCATCTACATTCTTATATATCCTTACTCCGTCATTCTCCCTTCTCCTCTACATTCTTATATATCCGTACTCCGTCCTTCTCCCTTCTACTCTACATTCTGATATATCCTTACTCCGACCTTCTCCCTTCTCCTCTACATTCTTATATATCCGTATTCCGTCCTTCTCCTTTCTTCTCTACATTCTTATATATCGGAGAATATACAAGCCTTACTCCGTCCATATGTACTCTCTTCTACTCTACATTCTTATATATCGGAGAGTACACAAACCTAACTCCGTCCTTCTCCCTTCTCCTCTGCATTCGTACATTAGGTGTAATCTATCTATATATCCAGCCAGGTGTAACCTGCTCCCCTGTTTATCTATCTATCTATATATCCAGGTGTACCCTGCTCCCTTGTTTATCTATCTATCTATATATCCAGGTGTACCCTGCTCCCCTGTTTATCTATCTATATATCCAGGTGTACCCTGCTCCCCTGTTTATCTATCTATCTATATATCCAGGTGTACCCTGCTCCCTTGTTTATCTATCTATCTATATATCTAGGTGTACCCTGCTCCCCTGTTTATCTGTCTGAGGACGAAGAAGAAGAATTGTCTCCGGATTATCTCACAATCAATGGAAACCAGAGAAACTTAGGAAAACCAGCCCCTTGATTCTTTCTTTTAACAATCTACGAATCATTTATTAAACAATTTAATTTAATAATAATAATAATAATCAAATAATAATAAAAAGCTCCTTTTAACATTTTTAAATCTACTTCAACTTGTCTCTTACAAAATTTTCAACAAAAAGTGAGACTAAAGCGACGATTTAATAAAGGGTTTTAAATAATCAAGGATAAAAATTTCTGTTGGGTCCACTGGGTGAAATAGACACACGTTCTTATCATTCTTTGTGAGGTCACTATGTTTTTTAAATATATTTGTTGATTGATTGATTGGTTGGTTTCAGATGTTAGTAGACCAGAGTTTAGAAAGTACGGAGTTTATGATTTCCGTTTTCTAAAAGTACTCGGGAAAGGCAGGTACAAGCTTAAATTTACTCAATGAATTTATGATTGATAAAATATAAAATTTGAAGTATAAGCAATGCATAGTTAGGGTAGAAAGATACAGTTATGACTTACTTGAGTAGAGCATCTTGCACAATCAATGTATTTCTCCCTTTTCAATATTTTTTTTTAAGGTTCAATTATCGTAAAACCGTTCAGAGTTTTTCATTTTCATACTATTATATACAGCAAAGAAACTGATTCTTTGCCACAAATTCTGATTTTCTAATCCCTATATCTTAGCAGACCCGATGTTGTAGACCTTGAATATTTCTAGCTATAAATTCTGTTGAATCGAATAAGTTTGAAATATCAAATGTTTACACCATCAGGTTGCAACGCTATAGAGATTAGAAAATTTAATTTGTGTGGCAAAAAGTCAATTCCTTTGATTCAATAATAACTTAAAATAAACATAAAACAATTTTTAAAACTTTATATAGAGAGAGTGTGATTTCAGTGCTAAATTTAAATGTCGTTTGTTTTTATCTCTACAATTGTACATGTGTTAACAAAAATGTTCAACCTAAATCAAACGCAATACATAAAAAACCATACAGTTTCAGACTTTTGTTTATTGAGATTTAGGACTGAATGTTTACTTTTCATGCTTATTCCTAATTTATATTTTTTTTAGTTAAACTAAACTTATGATAATATACTTAATTATAATACGGAACAAAGGACAGATTTAATTATAATACGGAACAAAGGACAGATTATATGATAATATACTTAATTATAATACGGAACAAAGGACAGATTGTATGATAATATACTTAATTATAATACGGAACAAGGACAGATTGTATGATAATATACTTAATTATAATACGGAACAAAGGACAGATTGTATGAAAATATTTTAGTTTTTAACGGACATTTTCTAAGGAACTGAGTTTTTGCCTAAGCTAAAATTTTCTAATCTCTAAATTTATTAACCGAATGCTGTAAACCTTTGATATTTAAAACTTAGATTATCTGATCTAACAGATTTCAAAGTTTGAAATATCAGGTCTACGAAAAGGTTGACACAGATATAATGCAATCTAACCTTAACTTTGAAAAAATACAGCCAGTTCAGGATATATATATTTTGATCAAAATATTATCAACATCAAGGTCTACGACATGGATTGCAAAGATATAGGGATTTTGTGACAAAAACTCAGTTTTTTTATGAGAAAATACAATGATAATGTAATGTGCACAAAATAGAATATGAATATATTATAGAATATGGAGATTCATTTCACATCAATATAATAAAACAAATTCAAATCTATAAATCAGATTTAAGATAAGTTAGGAAAATTGACGTGCGGTGGAAAAATGTTTATTTTTTACAAATATTTTGACAAATCATTTGTTTGTCAAAACTAACGATAATTTAAAAAAAATAATTTTCTTTACAAATTTTAAAACTGTAAAATTAACATTTCTTAGCTTGATAACGGCATTCTTTAGCTTTCCTCTTTATTTAATTATTTGTTTAGCTTTGGAAAAGTTATGTTGGCTCAGCTCCGTGAGACAAACAACTTCTACGCGTTGAAAGCTCTACGGAAGGATGTAGTACTAGAAGACGACGACATTGAGTGTACGCTTATCGAGCGTAAAGTTCTGGCACTTGGAGTAAAACATCCGTTTCTCTGCCATCTCTTCTGTACCTTCCAAACTGATGTAAGAGATTCTTGTTAATTCAGCACTAATATACATAATACAGTCGTCGGGGTATATACTAATATACATAATACAGTCGTCGGGGTATATATCAATACAATGAAGACGACTTTCTATTTCTATTTTGATTTTTACCAAGCTTTCAAACAGCATCGATATATCATAAACATTTAAACAAAAAGAAGTTGTCAATTAACAGGTTCTCTTTGTTTACTTGCTGACTTGTATTTTGATAAATGTTTGTTATGGATCAAGTCATTAAAATCTCATCTTTTGTGGGTTACCCTGTATGTAACTCTGCCTTCTTAAAGGGAGTGTTCGCGAAAAATGAAAGGGGGTATTGGCTTAATGCGATAAAAAAGCGCTTTTGATCGCTACTAATCTTACTTCTATCTGTTGCGTCTATAAGAAGAAAATTGTTAAAGACGTCTCATACCGAATAACTTAGCGCCCATACAAATTGAGAAAATTGCAACATACTACTTAGACCGTAAAAAAAAATCAATTTAATTTCAAACAAATCATTTAGATATTACAACTTATAGTCATCGATTATCTTTCGCCACATTTGTGGATAGTTTATATTTTATAATATTTAATTTTTTTAGAAAACTTTTTCAACGGATTTCGAAAATTGTGAGTTGTGTACGGCATTCTTAGATACAGGGTGTCCCACGAAACATGACAGTTGGTATAAATAGTTTAGAATGTCTTCTTCCATAATTTGATAAGTTTTTTAATACGAAAGACAATAATAAAAATATTATTTAAGAGTCATATTATAGTAAAATTAATTTCAAAGTAAAATATACTAGAGCAAAAGATTTTTTAAACGAAATAAACTGCAAACAGCCTTTAATATCTAATATAGTGTATGGAAGACGACATTCAAAACTATTTATCAACTGTCATGTTTCGTGGGACACCCTGTAGTTGCGCAAGCGACAAGAGAAAAAAAAACAAATTAATTAAACAATATTATAAAATATAAACTATATTCAAATGTGGCGAAAGATAATCGATGACTATAGGTTGTAATATCTGAATGATTCGTTTGAAATTAAATTGATTTTTTTTAACGGTCTAAGTCGTATGTTGCAATTTTCTGATTTTGTATGGCCGCTAAGTTATTCGGTATGAGACGTCTTTAGCAATTTTCTCCTTATAGACGCAACAGATAGAAATAAGAGTAGTAGCGATCAAAAGCGTTTTTTTATTGCATTAAGCCTATACCCCCTTCATTTTTCGCGAACACTCCCTTTAATCTTATATTATATATTGACAGTACCCTGTAAAAGCATTTTTTGGCAATTTTTACGTGTACTTGTACATTGTATATTGTACTGTGTAGTTGGTAATTTGTACATTGTACAGTGTACTTGGTAATTTGTACATTGTACAGTGTACTTGGTAATTTGTACATTGTACAGTGTATTTGGTAATTTGTACATTGTACGGTGTACTTGGTAATTTGTACATTGTACGGTGTACTTGGTAATTTGTACATTGTACGGTGTACTTGGTAATTTGTACATTGTACAGTGTACTTGGTAATTTGCAAGATAGTAATTTGTATATTGCACAGACTAACACAGACTGCTCATAAGCTCTACCTGTATAAGCAGGCCTAAAGTTGTCCTGGCAAGTCTGCTACATTTTCATGAAAGGTTTTTTTGACTGCCATCTTACCGCAACTTGTTGCATATAATACCAATTCAGGAGATAAGTTTTACAATTTTTAAAGAAATAAACAAAAACATAAAATTTTTAATTTAGTCTATTTTGAAGTTTTGTATTTCGTATCCAAAAGATCCTTAAATATTTCTTAAAGGGGTCGTTCACTTATTTGGGTAATTTGAGGGTAAACTAAATAGCCTATTAGCAATTCATTGGTATTAGCCTTACTTTTTAAAGACAAAGCTGTGGCCTGAGAAAAAGCCAATTTATTATTCAGAGTTCCACCGCAAAGGTTTGATATACCTTTGCATTTACACTATTTGATGCTTTTTATCATAGTCATAAATTCTTAAAAATGTTCAAATATTAACTTAAATTGTAGTATCTAACAGTTAATTGTAGATATCTTTTATTCTTATCCAAATTATTATAAAGTTGTCTATTTTTAAAATATAACTTATTTTAAACATTTGACGGGTTGATACGTTTTCTCCAGAAATCCCCGTGATATATCGAAGAGTTGAAGATCAAAAGTTTTTATATTTTATTATATAATGGCTGCCAGATAATGTCATTGAAATTTGATAATTTTATTAGGCTGTTGTTACTGAAAAAACGTTTAAATTGTGTCTATGCAAAGGCATCATATCTTTCCATTGGAATTCTAAACGATAAATCGGCTTTTCTCTGGTCATGATATCTTTGGAAAGTAAGACCAATGAATAGCTAATAAAGGCTAACTAGTTTACCATGAAATTACCCAAATAAGTGAACGGTCCCTTTAATAGAGACGTTGAAAACTAGGGAAAGTCTCAAAAAGAAAATGATTATATTTGCATGCATATATTTAAACTGAGCTGACCTGCAGGCTTTAAAGTACTAGATTGCAATACTGCATCAGAAAATATGTAAAAGTTGTCTAATATATCAAGGATAACCTTGAAATCATACAAGAAATTTTACTTAATAAAGTACAAGTATGGATTGCTTGATGACTTGATGATTGATGTCTTTAAAAATGCATTTTTTAAATGTCTTTATTTCCCGATCTTTACTTGATATATCTACAGATTTTAATTCAAATATTTCCATCCAATTTCAACCTTAATCAGTGTTTGATTTATAAAATTCAATCTGAACTTAAATCTAATCGTTTTAATCTTCAAATTTACAAATTTAATAAATTTTAAGATTCAGAGCGTGAACGTAAATTAACTATTAAGGTAATTTTAGAGTTAAAGCTTCTTTGTTTCTAAGTTTTCTTATACACGTTTCTCATATTCTACTTCATCCATGATTGTTTCTCAGTGACCCAGTCAATCTTTTTACAGGCATTCTTTCTCATTCTTGTCTTAGATTAAGATGCTTTTGATAGCGGGGCTTACAGGAGAGGATATATTTTTACAGATTTATCACAGGGTTTACAAGAGAGGATATATATTCACATATTTACCGCAGGGTCTACAAGAGAGGATATATATTCACAGATTTACCACAGGGTTTACAAGAGAGGATATATATTCACATATTTACCGCAGGGTCTACAAGAGAGGATATATATTCACAGATTTACCGCAGGGTTTACAAGGGAGGATATATATATTCACATATTTACCGCAGGGTCTACAAGAGAGGATATATATTTACAAATTTACCGCAGGGTTTACAAGAGAGGATATATATTTACAGATTTATCACATGGTTCACAAGAGAGGAAATATATTCACAGATTTACCGCAGGGTTTACAAGAGAGGATATATATTTACAGATTTACCGCAGGGTTTACAAGAGAGGATATATATTCACAGATTTACCGCAGGGTTTAATATATTCACAGATTTACCGCAGGGTCTACAAGAGAGGATATATATTTACAGATTTACCGCAGAGTTTGCAAGATAGGATATATATTCACAGATTAACCGCAGGGTTTACAAGAGAGGATATATATTCACAGATTTATCACATGGTTCACAAGAGAGGAAATATATTCACAGATTTACCGTACTGTAAAATGAAAATGTTGCCACAAGCTTAAATTTTTAATCCAATATATCTTGCTTCCTGATGGTCTAAGGTCTACGACATTGGGTCGCAAAGATATAGAGATTAGAAAATCAGAGTTTGTGGCAAAGACTCAATTCCTTTCATATCAATCTGAGAAAACGGACTAATCCTGATTTCTGGATAATTTGCAATTGGCTTCTGAACAGTAAAAACATTTTTTTACGGGAACAGATCATCAAAACACAAATCTTGTATTGCGAATACGGATATTAACGGAATTAAGTCTTTGCCACAGACTCTGAGCATCCTGATATAGATCTTAGATATTTTTAAGCTATGTATTCTGTTAGATCAAATAATTTAAGTTTGAAATGTGAAAGGTTTACACCGATCAGGAACACTGATATGGCATTCTAATATTCATTTTGTGGCAAAGACTCAGTTCCTTTGTTTTTATCTCATTTTAATTGAATTTTCTGCAGTTGAAAACAAACTGTTGAGCCGGAATATTTTGAGATTGAGGCGGCATTTTTTCTGATCAGAAGATAAGTTAATCCCAACTCAATCTTAAAATGTCAGAAATCACCCCTTGATCCTATATCCTTTGATCTAATGTGGAGTGTGGACACAAATGTGAAAAATGCACAACATTTTTTAATTTTAGCTTATCCTAGATGGTTTATCAAACCTCCTGGAAAGTGCATGTTGTAATGAAGTTTAAAGTAACTAGGCTTTTATGGCGCTTCGCGCCCATCTTCTATTTCATTTTTTAATTGAAGATCTATTTGTAAGCATCTTCTTTTTTGTATAAAAAATAACAATCAAAAATTCGCGGATTTCAGGATATTTTTCTGCGCATTTTCAAAATTTAACTAAAATTAAAAACTTATGTATATATTTTTTTGTAATTTTGAGCATCCAAAAACCTTCCCTGGAGTCATCTAAGGTCCCACGCAAAATTTTGGCCCAATGGGATCAGCCGTTTTGACGTTATTGTGGATACAAACGGACAGACAAACAGACAGACGGACAAGCAAAGTGTATATAGATTGACTCCGGATGGGAATTGTAAATTTTGTGGCAACAAGGGATATATGAAAATCTTTAATGTCAACTCTGTAACGATTTCTACTCTCTGAGACACCCTATCCTAAGATCTGATACTGAACCCAAATATCCTTGTATTCAAAATATAATACTGTTAAAATATTTAAATTCCCATTTGAATGAAGCAGGCAACTTTTAATTTTTTCTTTCTTTTTCCGAACTGAATATTTTCAGCGAAAAAAACTGACAATCATAGATTTTTAAAGGATTTTTGTACATAGCCAATACGAGTAACCATCTGTATCTATTGTTAATTGAAGCACAGGAATGGAATATTTGCAACATTTTCTAATTCCTATATCTTTGCAACCCAATGTTATTATAGACCTCAGATAGTTCAAGCTGTGAATTCTGTTAGATCCAGTAATCTAAGTTTGAAATGTCAAAGGTTTACTCCATTAGGAAGATATAGGGATTAGAATATTTAAGTTTTTTGGCAATGACTCAATTCTTCCTAAAAGTCAGTTCAATTCTTCTCAATTCTTCAAATAAACTCAAGTTTTCACAGACATAGAGGAAGGAAAGATAAAAAACATAAATTCTTGATTGGTTTCGTATTTTGAATTAATATTTTGTATGTTTCAGTCTCATCTGTTCTTTGTAATGGAATATCTAAATGGAGGGGATCTGATGTTTCATATACAACAGGAGGGCAGGTATATTGTTTAGTCTTTATCAATGGACAACCTACGGGGTGTTCCAAAAAAAAACAATCTTTTAGAGATTGTTGCACTCAGTATGGTTCATTAAAAAAAATAAAATTTATTTGTCAAATTTCAAACTGCTTTTACTTTTTTATTTTTATGCTACATAATTTGAATTAATATCAATCGATTGGAAATGTTCCGTAGATTTAAAGAATGTTCAAATTTTTAAAGATCGTTTTTTGAGACAGTCTGTATTTGATTCCTTCATTTCACATTCAAGGAATATTTCGCTTTTATGAGGTTCTGGCGTAGTCTATTCTAATATCTTGCGTATAATTATGAATTTTATTAAATAATGCAAAATCTTGACTTTATCTAATATAAGTTTAAACAAAGCAAAACCAACAGTTCGTTTAAAAACATTTAGAGTTACATATCTTTAGTAATAACGTTTTGCACATATTATAAAAAAAAACTTTTAAAGCATACAGGTTTGAAATAATAAAATGGAAAGGATAATTCGCCACAATTTTTAACTTCCTAATCCTTATTTCATTGCAACCTGATGGTGTAAACCTTTTATTTTTAAATTGTGACTATCAAATCTAACAGAATTCAGCAGAATATCCCAGGTTTGAAACATCAGGTTGTAAAAATAAAAAAATTGAGAAGATTAGTGTATGTGGCAAGTGTTCAATTCCGCTACGTACTTAATTGAGGTGTTTTATTAAGATTAAGGTTTATTGTACTTTGATATTTTCTGTTTAAGGTTCATCAGATATTGATATTTTCTGTTTAAGGTTTATCAGATATTGATATTTTCTGTTTAAGGTTTATCAGATCTTGATATTTTCTGTTTAAGGTTCATCAGATCTTGATATTTTCTGTTTAAGGTTTATCAGATCTTGATATTTTCTGTTTAAGGTTTATCGTATTTTGATATTTTATGTTTAAGGTTTATCATATTTTAATATTTTCTGTTTCAGGTTTATCAGATCTTGATATTTATTTGTTTAAGGTTTATCAGATCCAGATATTTTCTGTTTAAGGTTTATCAGATCTTGATATTTTCTGTTTCAGGTTTATCAGATCTTGATATTTTCTGTTTAATGTTTATCGTACTTTGATATTTTCTGTTTAAGGTTTATCAGATCTAGATATTTTCTGTTTAAGGTTTATCAGATCTTGATATTTTCTGTTTAATGTTTATCGTACTTTGATATTTTCTGTTTAAGGTTTATCAGATCTTGATATTTTCTGTTTAAGGTTTATCAGATCTTGATATTTTTTGTTTAAGGTTTATCAGATCTTGATATTTTATGTTTAAGGTTTATCAGATCTTGATATTTTATGTTTAAGGTTTATCAGATCTTGATATTTAAGGTTTATCAGATCTTGATATTTTCTGTTTAAGGTTTATCAGATCTTGATATTTTCGGTTTAAGGTTTATCAGATCTTGATATTTTCGGTTGAAGGTTTATCAGATCTTGATATTTGTTTATCCATGTCTATCTAGCTGTTTGTTTAAATGCTCCAGGATAGGAATCCCTGAAAGCATATTAAACAAACATTTTTTGAATTTGTATTTTAAAAAGAATGTCTAAATTTCGCTTCTCACCCAGCAGGCTGTTATGGAAAGTGGCTTTACAGCTTATATAGTTTTGCAGTCTGAGCTAAAAATATGTCTTTAAAGGGACTGTTAAGGAAAAATGAAAGGGGGTATAGGCTGAAACCTCAACATTTTAAGAGTTGATCAAGGTCAATCAAAGTTATATCTTCCTGTCTCAAGAAATTGATATAAACCTAGGTTTTCTAGGTCCGCTGGGATATCGTCGTTTTCAGATTGGTTGCGTATTTGATCAATATGATCTGTTTAAAACTACGATTTTTATGCAAAATTTTATATATGTAACTTTTTGTATAACTTTTACACAGTTTTTTAATATCAATATCTCGAGACAGAAACATCTGATAGAGCTCTTATAGGTCTCTATCAACTCCTAAAATGTTTAGGTTTCAGCCTATTCCCCCTTTCATTTTTCCTGAACAGTCCCTTTAATAGGTCGGATATTTAGAAAACATCATGCTTGGCTATATTTTACTAAATTACAAAGTTAACAGTCTAGAAAAAAAGCTTATGTATTTGCTTCTATTTTTGATACACATTAAATGATATGACATCATGAGGTATATGAAACAGTATCAGTGTACTTCCTTAATCCTGATAAATCTCTTTTGAATGTTGGCCTTGTATAATGTATATGTGTGTTTCCAAGGTGGGGGGGGGGGGGAAGATGACCCAATACACATATATTACATATATCTTAAAGGGCGTGTTTGCGAAAAATGAGTGGAGGTTTGGGCTGATCCCGAATTGAATTCAGGCTGATCGCTACTAATCGTACTTCTATCTGTTGCGTATATAAGGAGAAAATTAAAAAATGCCTGACGCACAAGAGCGTAAAAAGCATAAAAATTTACGGAGATGCATTTTTCTTCCCAAACCGTAAATAAGTTAAAAACGAATCAGATATTACAAGTTTTAAATGTCGAATTCAATTCGGAGTTTTCGCATGTATAGTTTACATAACATACTTTTTTATTCTTTTTTATGTATGATGCACTTTGGACGACGGCCGGTAGGCGTCTCTCCTGAGTAAAATCTCTGAAATATTGTAAGCTAAAGACACCGAGCGCCCAAATAGTCGTCCTCCAAAGTACATCGTACAGAAAAATAAAAATTCGAAATATAAATAAAAAAATGTTAATTTCAGATTTAGTGTTGAGCGTGCTAGATTCTATTCAGCTGAGATTGTTTGTGCACTCAAGTTTCTTCATAAGAAGGGTATAGTCTACAGGTAATATTAGACAGTGGTATAGTCTACAGGTAATATTAGACAGTGGTAACAAGAATACAACAAATCATAGTTGTCTTCATTTTTAATTAAATCATAAAATGCTTTCAAGATTTAGAACTGAGTTGTTTTGAAAACTGTGTCCATAACATTTTCGTAAAAAATATTAGTTAACATTTTTTTCCGAAATTAGAAAAAAAACGAAGAAGACAATCTTGTATGAGCAAAGGGTATACAAATTGAGTCTTAGCACCAAACCTGAACTTTATAATCCCTAAATCTTTGCAATCTGATTGTGTTAAGACTCAGACTATAATCTAAAAGTGTAATTGACTTCTACACAGACAATTTGGAAACAATAATAGTGTTAACCATTAATTTCAAAACCTCTATAAAATGTCGTCTTATACTGGAATCTCCTGTCGGAGACAGCCAAACCAAATTTTCAGCCCGCAAATTCCATTGTCCTCCTCCGACGGAGCTTAAAATATTTTCGTTGTTGTGAAATCATTAAAGTTAAGCAAAATATTTTCATAAGAAGCATAAGTGAATTTCGTTAAATATTCAACTGTAATTTTTCAGAAGTTAAAAAAAAAAGTATATCAATACTGATCAACAAATAAGTCACCCCTTCTATACTTAAATAATTCGTAAGATTTTTTCTACTATTAACATTCATTATAACATTGTACAATTAAACATGACCTATAATTTATGTTATTTTTTAGGAAATAAAGATTTTGTTATCGAATTTCTGTGACGGGGTTACTCTGTTGTGTGTGTATTGTTCGGCCATCGGGAAAGAATCGTCTGGGGATAATAAACACCCCTTTCAAAATCCTAACCGGCCTATTATCCGGATTTATCTAGCGTGTTGCTGTTATCTGTCAACAAATAGTTTTATAAAAAATCACAATAGTTCGATAAAAATGAAGTCTTTGTCACAAATTTGAATCCCTACATCTTCAGGTTTCAAAGATATATGGATTGGATAATTTAAGTGTGTGGCTTAAAATCAATTCCTGTTACTACTATATAACTATAAATCACCAAAATATTTAGAACTGACTGATTTTATATTTTGTTTCATCGTTAATTGTTTTTCAATTTTTTTTATTTATTGACATATTGCTTTCAGTCATACCAAATATAGTAGATTATAATAGTAATTATGATTCATAGTTCATCATTTGAATTTATGGCATCCAAAGCACCCCAAATTAACATTCATATTAATAACTTAGCATAAATTTTGTGTGTGCTTTCAATGGTAGGAATAGGTTTCTCATGAAATTTATACATACATGTATTGAAAATAGTGTAGACATAAATGTATTGAAAATAGTGTACACATAAATGTATTGAAAATAGTGTACACATAAATGTATTGAAAATAGTGTACACATAAATGTATTGAAAATAGTGTATACATAAATGTATTGAAAATAGTGTATACATAAATGTATTGAAAATAGTGTATACATAAATGTATCGAAAATAGTGTACACATAAATGTATTGAAAATAGTGTATACATAAATGTATTGAAAATAGCGTATACATAAATGTATTGAAAATCAAAATTTCAATTTGGGTTTCCCAGCATTTATGTTTATTTTGAACATATGATGTAACTTCTCACCCGAAAAACTTTAAATCAAATGAATCCTAGAAAAAGTTTGAAGATTAATGATGCTTTCTTTGGGATTAAATACAAAATAGCAGACGTTTTTTTATGAGACAGAGGGGCGTGTAGAGTAGGTATCTAGATAGGTCAGGTTCAGATAAAGCTTCTGGATTAACATTCTGCAGAGTAAAGAGAGTACATTTGAGACAAAGTAATTACTAAATATATAATTTTAGATAAATGGAAAATTAAGAATGATAAATAACGAGATATCCTTATTTTTCTGCTGCAGAGACGATGAAGAAAGTTGTCAGATTTCAACCCGTTTTAAAGGGACTGTAAGCGAAACTTCAAATTTGTGAAATTCACATCGATACCTTTAAAACCCTTGCCTAATGAAGTATTAATTACAATTATGCTTTCTTTACAAAAGTGACTTGCATATTTCTACTGTAGGATAACATATAGGAATGATCAGAATTGAACACTTATTCAGGAAAACGACCATTCCTTCCAAATCATTGATCAAACAAAAGTTTCAAGGGTACCGTTGTAAATCGTACTTTATCATAAAGCAAGGTTGTATAATAAGTTTAGTTACTCTCTCGATGCGCTCTAGTGTACGGAAATGTCGTTACCTAGATATAGATAAAACCCTAATATGACGTCACTGATTATTGAATGCGAGATTGAAGTCATATTATATTTTTATCTATCTATTTTAGGAGACGACATTTTCCATACATTGGAGCGCATCGTGAGTAACCAACCTTATTATACAACCTTGGCTTGAAATCTTCCTGAGTATTGCTCAGTTGGAGGATTAATGTGACATACCACTCTTTGAGATTATATATTTAAATCTTCAAAATACGTAAATAGTGATGAGCAATAAATTCTTGAATTTTTATTTTTAAGGTTTTACTACTTCGAAAAAAAACCAAAAACAATTGTTTATTTTGATTTGTTTATTTACTATTAAAATAAAAAAGTTGAATAGTTTGATCAATAAAAAGCGAAGTTAACAGAATACATGTTTTGAATATTAGATCTTTTACATGTTCATAGTATTTGTTCATAATAGTCCAAAAACCTTAAAAGTTCTAGGAAAACGAAGCAATTTATGCTATTTGTAGATGTGAATCAAATAGATGTTTAAATCACTTATTTCTTAACTTTACTTTGCATTTTTAATATTGGCAAATCGTTTCCTATGATTTATTAGGGTGGGCTGGGAAAAGGGGAAAACCGGGGAAAACGCTTAATGCTGATCTAAATTGTTTGGCAGGGTTCCAGGTTCTGAATTAACTAGGGAGAATAGTTGAAATATCTGGAAACAACGGAAACCGAAGATTTTTGAAAATAAACAATTTAAATAGTTTTTAAACAAATTATGTTCGAGCAAATATAAATATTTAAGATAAGCTTTAGCTTTAACTTTACCTTTAAGAACTTTTATCATTTTCAATGTACATAAAATTAGGACACGGAAAATTGAAACATGATTGGATGCAATTAGATCAATAAATAGTAGCACTGAACACAAAACTTAATACAAGATATCGTCATGAAACCCAGTATCGGAGTCCCATGAATGGGGTAAAGTCACTTTGTACATAGTTATCAGTATTTGGTATTAATTTATTTGGTTTCTTTATATTTTCTTAATGTTATAAAGTTTCTTAAATCAAAATCTAAACAAATGTTTAGATCGCAAAAAGGAATCTTTGGGGTTTTGTTCCACGATACTCTCATAAAATTCCGGTTTAAAGTTTCATGCACAGCCAGTACAGTATACACCGTATAATTTTTCTTAATCGTACCATATCCGTAGCACTTGATCATGTACATATGTATTCATTTACTAATTTCTAATTCCATGTCTATCGGAGGAACCCTAATGAGCTATCAAGAGTTTACATTAAAAGATAAAAATTTGTAAACTTATCATTTTTCCCACAATCAATTCAGAAGGAATTTTTCAAGATAAAAATGTTCACAGAAATTAAATTAAAGTAGCAATGACTGGGTATAAACTCGCCCAAGAATAATCTTATTGAACAATTTGATTTTTAACCCTTAAAACCTTGAAATACCTAAAATAATGTAATTAACCAATGCAATAAAAGATAATAATTAAGATTGATGCAAAAGATGAATTATAAAGTTTAACAGAAGAAGGTTGTTAATTGTTAATTTGAAATTATTTTACACAATTTGTTATCTGAAACTTTATTAAATACACTTCAGGGACTTAAAACTGGATAACCTACTCCTTGACTGTGATGGACACATACGAATTGTGGATTTCGGGATGTGTAAACTTCAACTTTATCTGGACAAAACCGCGGACACTTTCTGTGGAACTCCAGATTACATGGCGCCTGAGGTATCGTCTTCGTTCAATTAAATAGTTTCCAGAATTTTTTTGTCTTGCATTTACAATTTTAAGTAAAATTTTGAAATTTTGTGAAAATACATAAAAAATCAAATTGAAAAATATAAAGGAACCTGTTTCAGTTTTGAGCAGACTTCTCTGAGTATAATAATTTAACAAATTAAACAAAAATATGATTTTAACCGATCAAAAGTGCACGCAAAGTTAATGAAAATTTCAGTGTTTGAATTAAATATTTTTAACCTAAAATTTACACTGTTTTAATACTTTTTATCTCTGAAACACAATTATAGGATGAAAAGGTCATAATTTAAGAAAAATATATTTTTCTTTAGATAATAAAAGGTATGAAGTATACCCATAGCGTGGACTGGTGGAGTTTCGGAGTTCTACTTTATGAAATGCTAATCGGTCAATCACCTTTCAACGGATGTGACGAGGTAGAAAAAAATGTGAAATATCTGAAACGAGGTTTAGGAAGTTTAGGTCAGATGGGTCCGATACCTTCAGAATGTTTTCCCTGATGTAAATATAGTTTGTTTATCATCTTCATAACATAACAAGATATATTTAAAAACAGAGCTTCTTTTAAAAAGTACTGGATGTATGTCCATGATACACTATAAAAGTGCCCGGCGTTGCCCGTGAAATTTTAATAACAATTCAAAAATATTTTTGTTGTTTCTTATGTCATTCCCACTCCCCAGGGTAGCCATGGGTTTCCTAAGAAAATTCAGCCATTTGGGCAAGCTAGCCGTTTGTGGCCAGCGATAACTAACATACTAGTGAATGTCTAGTATGTGTTGTATATTTATGAATGTCTAGGATGTATTTTATATTAGTGAATGCCTAGTATGTATTGTATATTGGTGTATGTCTAGTATGTATTGTATATTAGTGAATGTCTAGTATGTATTGTATATTAGTGAATGTCTAGTATGTATTGCATATAAGTGAATGTCTAGTATGTATTGTATATTGGTGTATGTCTAGTACATTACTAGTGAATGTATTGTATTATAGTGTATTGTAAATTAGTGAATGTTTAGAATGAATTGAATATATATAAATGTATATTTAGGAAGAATTAAATGTATATCTAGGATGAATTATATACGTTTATGTATATCTAGGATAAATTATATACGTATATGTATATCTAGGATGAATCATATACGTATATGTATATCTAGGATGAACTATATACGTATATATATATATCTAGGATGAATTATATACATATATGTATATCTAGGATGAATTATATACGGATATGTATATCTAGGATGAATTATATACGTACATGTATATCTAGTATGAATTATATACGTAAATGTATATCTAGGATGAATTATATACGTAAATGTATATCTAGGATGAATTGTTCTGGTCAATATGTAATGAGCAGGCCTACTTCCCACGGTTCCTCTCAGCTGAAGCTAAATATCTTCTTGACGCGGTAAATTTTATCATTATCATAATTATCATAATAGGCTTTGTTATTATTTTTTTATTATCATTATTATTGTTATTATTAATTCTCTTTTAATTATTGTTATTATTATTATTCTTATCATGATCTTCATCAGTATCATTATTATAAATATTATTATTTAATTATCATTATTATCACTATTATTATTATCATAATCATGGCCATGAATTAAGTTTATGGATTGTAACTCAATTTTGAAGAAGGAGAATTCCAGAAGTATATTTCAATGATGAATGTAAACAAAGGATTAATATTGAAAAGTGGCATTGAAGGAGCATTATTTATTAAAAAATACGCATATTTAAGAAATCTGAAAGTTTAATATTGATAAGATTTCATCATATCTGTTAATGATGTAAAATCTTTTAATTAATCGCTAACTTCATCTTAGGAATTTAGTAAATTCATTCATATTTTACAAATCCTAATTTTCCTCTTGGATTTACTTATTCTCCTCCCTGGTTCCCAACAGGATAATTTGTAAATTCATTAATATTTTACAAATCCTAATTTTCCTCTTGGATATACTCATTCTCCGACATGATTCTAAAAATCCTCAAGATAGTAGTTGAGAAAAAAACCTCTTTAAAGGGACGTCGACGTTGTAGACGTAATTTCAAGTGACATGTCCGATTGACATCAGTATCCTTTAAAACTTTGTTTGATTATCGAAATGAGGCACATGTTTCCGAAGGATTTCAACTTTTAACTAAAAAATAAGGATATCTCTGTCATTCTTCATCAGGAAAAGGTGTGTACTGTACGGAGGTGTGAATCGGACATACCACGCTGTAAATAGAGGGTATCTTGAAAGTACAGCCAGAGACCCTTTAAGATTTTTGATCGCCTTAATCAATAGATTTTATTTTTAAATACTTACACCAACAAATAGTGGTAGGCGTTTATATCAATACAATGAAGACGACTTTTCTATTTAAGTTTTGATTTCTGACAAGCTATTTTCAAAATGCAAGTTTACAAACAAACAGAGAAAAGCTGTTAATTGACAGCTTCTCTTTGTTTCCATGTTTATATGTATCCATGCTATTTAGTTATAGTAGTTATTATGTAGTTATAACATTTTTTTCGATTTTTCGCTTTTCAACGGCAATTTAGAAAATTTAATGTGATAGTTCATTAAGAAAAAGATATGCAATAATCATATATCGCCATGGATTTATGTTGTTTTACATAGAAAAAATATGCAGATGAAGGAACAATATACCCCCAAAAAACTAGAAATAGTTACATAAGCTTTTCTTCAATATAAAGTTGTTGGATCTTCATTTTTCTATTTGTTTAAATGAAATTAATTAACAAATATAACTGAATGAACTGTTTATTAAATATTTCTGTATGTTTAGCTATTGGAGAAGAATCCCAGTGAGAGGTTGGGAGTGAGTGAATCCATCCACGGAGATATCTCTAAACAACCATTCTTCCGAACCATTGATTTCATTAAACTGGAGAATAAGGAGCTCAACCCTCCATTCAAACCTCAGCTGGTAATTATCTTTTAGAAAATAGGGTTCGAAGAGTAAAATAGGAGAGAAAAGCTTGAACATAAGGGAAAATGGTGTCGATATCTTCAACCTCATATTAAAAATGACAATATCGTTGAATGATAGGGTAGGAGTGTAAGGATAGGAGTGGAGTCTAAGAATAGGAGATGAGTGTAAGGATAGGAGAGGAGTGTATGGAATGAGTAGGAGAGTAGTGTAAGGGTGGGATGGGTGTGTATGGAATGAGTAGGATAAGTGTATGGAATGAGTAGGAGAGGAGTGTAAGGATAGGAGAGGAGTGTAAGAATAGGAGAGGTTGTATGGAATGAGTAAGAGAGGAGTATAAGGTTAGGAGAGTAGTGTAAGGATTGGAGAGGAGTGTATGGAATGAGTAGGAAAGTAGTGTAAGGGTAGGATAGGAGTGTATGGAATGAGTAAGAGAGGAGTATAAGGTTATGAGAGGAGTGTACGATAGGAAAGGAGTGTAAGGATAGGAAAAGAGTGTAAGGATAGGAAAGGAGTGTAAGGATAGGAAAAGAGTGTAAGGATAGGAAAGGAGTGTAAGGATAGGAAAAGAGTGTAAGGATAGGAAAGGAGTGTATGGATAGGAAAAGAGTGTAAGAAGAGGATAAGGATAGAATAGGATTTGAATGTAAGAATATGATTTAATTGTAATGATAAGATAGGAATTTAAGGATAGGATAGGTTAGGCGTTGGATAGGAGGGTAAGGATAGGAAAGGGATATATCTCTGAATGTTTAGCGAACCCCCCTGGACGTGAGCTACTTCGATACTGCATTCACAGAAGAACCGATAAAACTGACTCCGGTAGACTCATCCTTACTCCGGAACCTGGATCAGAGACAGTTCAAAGGGTTTTCACTAACAAACAAACTGTATACATTGAAGTAAATAGTTTATATTTTCCACTCTTTTTCTTAAAGGAAAGAGAAGCATTTATAAAGATGGTAAAAAGTATGTAAAAGGAAGTAATATGACAGAGAAAACTAAACGGAGTAAAGTTAAAAAGAAAAATACAGACAGAGAAAAACGATGAAAGATTTCAAAATAAAAAAACCGATTAGAAAGTATACCAATAAAAGAATAAATGAAAAAATGAGAAAGCGGAGAAGTATGAACTCACGGGTTGAATATTTTAATATTTTAAAATCTGTAATGTGGGAGAGTGTTGAATCTGTGTGTTAGAATAATCTGTCTCGATATCCTGAATACTATCAGTAAACTCGGTAATAAAAATTCATCAATTCCTTCATAATCCGGGAATAATTTTCCAACCGAGTAGAGACACGTGACCCCAGTCTGATCACATGATAAACGAGGTTGGTGGCTCTTTTAAATTTATTTTTCTTCATTTTTTTTCAACGCCCTTTCTTCTCGATAAAAAATGTACAAACTTAAAGATTTGATAAAAAGCGGGTGTATGAATTCTGTTAAATCAAATAATCAGAGTTTGAAATATCAAAGGTTTACAACATCGGGTTCTAAAGATATTGGGGTTTAAACATTTGATTTTGTTACAAAGATTCAATTCCTTTATCCGGTTACATATTAGAGATTCAAAACATATTTGGTCTTAAGCTCTTTAATAAGAGGATTGAAAACATATAAGATTTCTTACGAATTTATATTACTAGGCTTTTAGGGCCCTTCCCTCTTATCTTCTATTTCAACTTTTAATTTAAAATAGTTTGCGGATTTCATAATATTTTTTCGGCATTATCAAAATTTTACAAAATAAAAAACTTTTAAACACAAATTTTTAAAGTTTTGATCATTCATGAACCTTCCCTGAGGTGACGTGAGGTCCCACACAAAATTTGGGCCCGATCGGTTCAGCCGTTTTGACGTTTATTGCATACAAACAAACACCCACCCAGACAAGCTAAATGTATATTTAGATTTTGGTGTAATAAATAATGATATCCATATATGAATTTAAGAATAATATTTATAAAATAATACAAAATTAAATAATAATGATTATAAAAACAATTTAAATATGGAATTACCAATGCTTTTAAACTGATAACAATAAGACAATAAGCATATAAATCTAATAATAATAATAAGAAACTACCGATAATATTGTTATCAAGAGAACACAAGAGATAATAATAATAATAATAATAATAATAATAATAATAATTCTATCTATTATTCTCTTGAGTGTGTGGACAGCTCTAATCCCAGATTTGACTTTTGACTCATATTAGTTGAGGGTTGAGTTCCAACCCTGATATCTGATAATTGAATCCAGTAATCCCCCAGAGGGATTATTCCCCAGCTAAGATTGGTTTCCGGAGAATAGACGTTCTGTGTTTGAACCAACCCGGAGTAAGAAATCTGTTTGGCGGCAAGGTTGGCTCCGCCACAGAGACTTTATTTTGCCACCAGAGAAGAGTATTGAAACTTAGATGAGAGCAGGGCAGTTTTAAGAGACATTGAGGTTGAGACGGATATCAGAGAATTTAAAAACTTAACGTCAAAGATTCAAATTCGGACACTTTAAACCGTAACGAGAACAAGACGAGGAATGGAAGAGAAGAGATTGGAAAATGTTTTGAGAAAAAGAAGAGATGAGAATGAGATAAGAAGAGTAAGAGATGAGAAGGGGATAAGAGGAGGGAGAGAAGAGAAGGAGATAAGGAATGGGAGAGATGAGAATCAAGAGATAAAAACTCAGAACCAGGAGGACTCGGAGTCAGATAGTGAATCAGGTTCTATTTATTTTTTATTCTAAAATCTAAAAGATATGTTAATTATAAAAAGAAAACTTTTTCTGTTTAAAAAAAATGACAAATCATTATTTTCTATTTGAACCTATCTTTATTATTTCAATTTCAACTTTGAACATAAAAATTCAAATAATTTTGCTCTAAAACTTTTTAATTCAGGATTATTTTCTGATTCTGAGACAGATGGAAGTTGTGGGAGTGGTATGAGTGGAGGGGCGTGGTCTCCAATCCAAGGGAAAGGGTCGTGGTCTCCCACCCCTGGAAAGTGGGCGGGAAGACGTGGTCGGGTTTGGAGAGGTTCACCGGTCTCTAGTATACAAAATCAGGATTGTGGGACTAAGATGTTGACTGGAAATATTAACAGGCAATATTTAATAAATTGATTACTTACCACTATCTATGAACAGGTAATAAATAATAAAACTGATTACTTACCACTATCTATGAACAGGTAATATAAAATAAACTGATTACTTACCACTATCTATGAACAGGTAATATATAATAAACTGATTACTTACCACTATCTATGAACAGGTAATATATAATAAACTGATTACTTACCACTATCTATGAACAGGTAATATAAAATAAACTGATTAATTACCACTATCTATGAACAGGTAATATAAAATAAACTGATTACTTACCACTATCTATTACCAATCCTCTATATTTTGCAACCAGCTGGTGTAAACTGAAGCTATCATAATAATCAGAATTCATAATTCGAAAAAATGTGTGCTGAAGTGCCAGGTGTCACCCGTGTTTAAAAAAACACTTGAATAAAAAAAATTTTAATTTTGAAAACAAAATTGATGTCTCTGTCAAGAAATATATACTACCCCCAGGGTAACCATGGGTTTCCCCCAAAAAATTCAGCTTATTTGGCCCAGCCGTTTGGCCAGTATATAACTAAAGAATCTTTGAATCTCATTATCAACATCAAAAGTTAGATTTAGACTTATATTTTTGACAGAGTTTGACATGCTTCTTTTCTAAGGCTTGAGACATGAACATATCAGGTTTGTGATGCTCATGCTAAGGTAGAACGAAGATGTTGATGATCTGAGGCCTGTTTGGTCTGATATTATCAGGTTTGTGATGCTCATGCTAAGGTAGAACGAAGATGTTGATGATCTGAGACCTGTTTGGTCTGATATTATCAGGTTTGTGATGCTCATGCTAAGGTAGAACGAAGATGTTGATGATCTGAGGCCTGTTTGGTCTGATATTTCGTCCGTCACTTCATTTCTTTTCTTTTACTGCTGTAACTATTCAGTAGTTTTGGAGTTTAAAAGAAAGATTGTAATTTTAAAATTCTGATGTCATAGATATTTATTATTTCGAAGTATAAGTTCTGCTAGATCAATTTGTCTAAGTTCGAAATATTGCAGGTTAGACAATCAGGTCGCAAAGTTTATGAAATTACGGTTGGATACGAATAATCAGTTTCTTTAAAACTCTATTCAGTCAAAATTGACTAATTTCACAGTGCATTTTTTAATTTGAAATAATTTTGCAGGGAGCGGTATCGGCAGCAGAATGTTAGCGGAGCATTCCTAGAGCTTAGGAAACTTCTCCCAACCCATCCACCGGAGAAAAAACTCAGCAAGAGCGAGATCCTTAAACTTTCAATCAGGTAGAGGGGAGGGGGGGGGGGTCAATCCCCGAAAATAATGTCACAAAAAAACGGCTAGATATGCATTTAAAAGTAGCAACGCCTTGGCAACTGGTTTTAACTAACCAACTACTTTTTTGTAGCCCTAGGAACATACATTTTAAAATTGCAACGCGTACGATTCTTGTTTTAGAATTTATTGGCAAAATACTGATTAATTTTTACACGAGAGCATGTGGTTCGCAGTGGATAAGATTTATTTATTATCTACACTTTATTTAACAGTTGTATAATTTAGGTATATCAAATTACTGGAAAAAATCATCGATTGGCAAGATTCACAGAGACTTCCCGAGAAAATGTCAGATTCCTGTTGTACCCGGTAGAAAATATAATTTACAAAACATTTATTATTTTATTTCTTTTTTCCTTTCTCTCTTCCCTTCTCCTTCTCCTCCTCATCTCCCTCCAATAGTTTGGATTTCTTCTTTCCCATCGGAGTTTTACTATACCTATATACCAGAAAACAAATTTGATTTGTCGCCACTAGATGTAGTTATATAATCCTCATTTCTTTGTAACCTGAGGCCGAATTTAAAGAATTTGAACCGCGGCTCAAATATGATTGGTTCCACTAAAAACTGTATTCAATTTTCAAGATTTAAGCCGGCATTCAATTGAAACCGGTTTATGGGGCATTTGAGACGCAGCTTAGATTCATTAAAGTCGGAAACTAATGTAGTAGACCTTTAATATTTAAAACTATAGAATTCTGAGGCCGAATTTAAAGAATTTTAGCCGCGGTTTAAATTTAAGCTGCGGCTCAAATATGATTGGTGTCACTTAAAATTGTTTTCAATTTTTAAAGATTTAAGCCGGCGCTCAATTGAAACCAGTTTTTGGGGGATTTGAGACGCGGCTTAAATTCATTAAATACGGACACTGGTCCAAAAAGTCATAGTTTGAAATATTGAACTATTACATCATCAGGTACATAAACTTTATTCTCCAAGAGAAAGATCTGTATTTCCGTCTTGAATTAGACAAACAAACTGAGTTCTCAAATTAATAAATCTTAGAAACTTGATTGTGCAAATCTTTGCGATTTCAAACTTAGACTATTTAATGATAAAGGAATGCGTTGTTTGAAATATCCAGATCTATGACATTGGGTTGCAAAGATATTGGGATATCGGGATCTGAATTTGTGGCTCCTTGGTATCCTTTTATAAAATATTTTATTACTATCTACCGTAGAAATCTCTGATAAAAAATTGTAGCAACTATATTTATAACTATTTCAAAACCGTTGTGAATTGTTAATGGCATTTTTAAAATAAAAAATAAACTAATTGAGTTGATCCTAAAATAAAGAAATATATTCGAGTTACCAAGATACAAATGCATCCTCCTCCTCCCTATAAACAGGTTCAGACTTAGCCAGGGCTGCAATAAATTCTACGGCCTGAACAGAAACAAAAACGTTTTATGGAGAATATTGGAGTTGGAAAACTTGATAAAACTAAATTGGGTTAAAAACTTATTATTCATTTCTTAAACTTCAACCTGAATAACGAATTATACTAAAGAGAAAATCTTTTTTTAGTTTTACCGTCTAAAATTGATTCAGAAGACAAACTTTTATAAAACCCTTAAATCATGTAAAGCTGAATTGAGCTTTCGCCACTAACTGAACTTTTCTAAGATGATGGGATTAGAAAATTGAAATGTCGATTAAATAATTTATAATTAACAACAAAGTAACCTGGAGCTCTTTAAATTTCTGCTGCAAAACCCTTTTCTCTGTTAGAGTTTCTGTTACGCTCCTAATAAAAAGAAAATTGATAAGATTTTCAAAAAAAAATTCTTTCTAAAAATATTGTTCAAATTCCAAAACGTTCACAAAGGAACTGAACCTTGACTCAAGCTCTTATGCCCGTACATTGAGAACTCTATACTGTGGAATAGGAAGACAGCATCAGAGCAATACTTAGTGAATAAGTGAAAACCTTTGATATTCTAACTTTTTGTTTGTAATATCGAAGATCTATCTAAGTTTGTAATCAATACTGCAAAGATAAGTTTTTATATATTTGAGTTGTTTTGTATGTTAAATACTATATACCTGGATATTGCTCCGCTTGTCCAGCCGTCTGATATCTTTGCTAGTGTACTCAGATCAAACTGTGAATGTAGAATATCTCCATCAGATCGTAGAATTAGTTCTTTCCATAGATTATATCTAAATATACAAACAATATTATCATAATAATAATAATATATAATGATATAATGATTAAAATAGTCTTAAAAATAATAATAATAAAACTGATAATTATGATAATCTGAAGATGAGGATGATAATTAATGTCAATGACAATAGTAATGATAATGATAATGATGATAATGATAATGATAATAATGATAATGATAATTATGATACGCAATACCTGTAGGAGTAGTCAGGTTTAGGTAAATAAAGCATTTTTTGATAGGTTTGGGTTAAACCTTTCTGGTCACACTCCCAGGGACAACGGGAACATCCAATCAGGATTACCTGAATTTTAGTAATAATAATAATAATCACCTGATCTTCAAGACCTATAGATTTCACAAGCTTTGGAAGATCTTTCTTCAATCTTTTAGGATCACTTTTATCCGTCTTTGAAACCTTCTTTAGGAAAGTTTTCTCCGCTTGATCAATGAAAATCACGGAGGGTTGCAGTAATCTTCCAACCTGTAAAGTGTACACTGTGTTTATAGATTAATAAATAATTACAGATATTAGGACACTAGATGTCGTCTTTCAAGATTTAGGGGTTTTTCGTTCACAATAACCCTGAGGCAGAAACCCAAAGGAGTTCCACGCACGCAGTGTTGAATTACAAGACAGAGAGAGAGAGAGCATGCACTGTCTCAGGGTTATTGTGAACGAAAAACCCCAAAATCTTAAAAAGACGATATCTAGTGTCCTATCTGTTATTGTTAGTTAATCTATGACTGTGTTAATCAATGTACGAAAACATTTTGCGGATTTCTTTTTGTTTTATGATTACCTTGGAAACAAGATGGACGAGCATGTTTAACCCTGATTTCCCGGGATATTTTCCAACAATGTTGGTGGCGGTCAGATCAAACAGGGTTGCGTTTAACTCCGTACAGACAGCCTGGACCAGCATACTTTTCCCACAACCCTCAGCTCCTTAAACAATAACTAGATATAATTAGGTTCGATCTTTCAGTCATTTTTTATTGTGAAATTTTAAGAAATGCATGATACTCTAAGGTTAAAGATCTATCTTTAGAAAAGGTTATTGGTCTTGAATTTTCCCTTTTACCGCCGTTTGACCAACATTACCGAACCCTTGAATCCTCAACAGCTGAATGAAGAGTTTCTTAACGTTCCTTGTGACAATAAAGTAGAAGAACCCGCTCTGCGAAGTTTTAGTGAAAAAATTCGCACAGTTTCATCTTCAAAGACGATAAAATTGTGTACTACTACTTTTTCAGGAAATTAAAAATTTATTTACTTGTTACCTCGACAAATTTTGCCTACAAAACATCCAAAGTAATTGGTCTTGGGTACACTTTGCGAAAATTTTCCTTAACTTCCTGTAAAGTCGTTCTAAATAATTATGATTTCACTTTACCTCGACTTTATTCGGCAAATTTGACTTTAAAAAAACCAGATCTTTTGGATTATTAAGAGGCAAAAATGGCCAAGAGAACCCAGGATATAAATCAAATTATCAGAATGTACACGTCCAATTGTAAATTTTACATTTCGTAAAAAATATCTGAATTTCATACCTGCTAGAAGGACAGATTTTACTGATGGTGTATTCTCCCTTAGTTCTGCAGTTACTATAACAAAAGATATGCATCTATTCTGTATATCTCTATATATATATATATTTATAAAATTGTAATCTCTGTTTGTTTTTTTGGATGTCAGAGCATAAACCCTTTGACCGTTTTGCCTCAAATTTTAATTGGAGAGAGTTGAGTAGTCGACTTTTTATTATAGGGAAAACTCCTGACAAACACTTTAAAGCAAACACCTTCTGCGTTTAAATCAAATGTAAGTTTGTATTATTAGAATTGCAAAACATTATAAAATTCATCGCAAAATCAGTCAAATATACGCAAAAAAAAATAAATGGACAAGATACCTAAGGGTAGAATGCAGTATTCTGATATTGTTCTCCGGATATCTGCTGGACCAGGTATAGGTTCCTTCCCAGCTTTCTACACAACATGGAGAGTTAACAAGATTAAAAGAACGCCGATCCTTTCATTTTTTTACGAACACTCCTTGCAATGCTTTAAATGAGTAATTCTCGAGTTCTTGTCTGATATAACTATTTATACCCTACTGGTTGAAGGGAGGCGAGGTATATACCCTACTGGTTGAAGGGAGGCGAGGTATATACCCTACTGGTTGAAGGGAGGCGAGGTATAAAGTATTTGAGCCAAAAACTTTTCTTTTTCGAGAGAGTCTCGCTCTGGTTAAAAAATCATTAAAAAAGTCGAGCCCCCTTCAACCAGTAGGGTTTTAGATAACTTTATGCCCTGGAAAATATTAAGAAATATAAAGAAATATGAATTTGAATGTTAACACTATCAAAATAAATAAATACACAAAAATGGCACGTCAATTATATAACATGTTTAAACTTTTATAAAGCACATATTAAAGAAATTCCCAATTACTAATGCTGGAAGATGATCATTCAAAAGAATTCGGGAACTTCATAGCATTAATTTAAAAAGTCGTATCTAAATGAACCTACCCTGAAATCTCCCCCGCTGTAGGATATTTCTCCAAGGAACTGGTTCAAGTGAACCTAGAAAAAATGTTATTGGATGAAATCTTCATTCGAAATATTTATTTTCATTTTTTTCTACCTTAGGATATTGTTTTATTATACCGTTCATAACCAGTTCCTAAATAGATAATAGATCAAATTCACGATTTCATTTGGTTCATTTATAAATAAGTCCTTCATAGTTATCAATTTTTGATTGTAACTCTTTAAACTTTGAACATATTGAATTTATTAATGCTCGTAATAAAAATTTGTACCTGTTGTGTTTAAAAGCAAAAGAGTTTTTGCCACAAACTCTATTTTTATATCCCTTTCTTTGCAACCCGATATTTCAAATTATGAATTTTGTTAGATCAAAAATTCCAAGTGTATTTCAAGGTGTAAACCATCAGGTTTCAAAGATGGAGGGATTAGAAAATTTGAGTATGTGGCGTTAAAGCAAGTTCCTTTGCTAAAAATATCAGCGCATTTTTACTTAATTGCTTCGAAAACAGCAAAAAAAGGAAAAGTTAAGATGTTATAAAAAATTGTATCTTTCCTCGAATAATGATTCCGTTGTCCTGTCTGGAGTCAGATCCTTGTCCTTCTTTTTCTTCCCTTTCTTCTGTCCTTTCTTCCCTTTCTTCCTCTTCTTACTCAGCTTTCCTTTCTTTCCTTTATCCCTTTCCACCGCCTAGAACATCAAATGTGCAAAAAAATAAAAAAATATAATTTCAGAATTGTTTCCTCACCGCCTTCAGGATTTCTAGTTCCTCTCTCATAATAGCATCCACAACTCTTCTAGTTTCATCCTCAACCTCAAACATAATTGATGTCAGTTAGAAGACGACTTTTACTGATAAGAGAAGATGACTTTTACTCACAAGAGAAATTTTAGTTGAAAGACGACTTTCACTGACAAGAGAAATGTTGGTTGGAAGACGACTTTTACTGACAAGAGAAATGTTGGTCAGTGGAAGAAAAGTTTACAGATTATACATGACAGTAGCAAGACAACTTGAAACAATGACCACTCATTTCCCCTAGTCCTGGCATTTCCAAAATGTGGTCTGCCTTTTTGTGCTGTCAATATTTTTTTAAAAATTTGGAAATGCCAGGACTATAGATGTATTTTGTGGTTATTGTCACAAATAAATTTATCTCCAGAATTTTACTTCTAAAATTAGGTTGGCAAATAAATGCAGCAAATTATGTTTATCAAAAATCAAAGTCGTTTCGCTACTGTCATGTTTCGTGGGACACCCTGAATAAAGCCAATTGGAAGTCTAATTTTACAGAAAATAGACAAGTTGAAATACGACTTTTGGAAGTTAACAGAAAAGTAATTTGGAAAACGACTTTTATAGAGCATAAACGAACAAAAAAAATCCTCATGCGTTCTCCATCTAAATCTTAAACAATAAATTTACACGTTTCTTAAGACAGGTTTAGGTCAAATCATGGTTAATATTACAATCACCTCTTTTCTCTTGAGATTTGATAGAATTAAAGAATCAGCTTCTTGTTTATTATTGTGCTTCTCGTCCCGTCCTGCCCAGGTATCTGGACACAATACAAACATAAACAAGGATAAAAATCAGAAATTACTTTAAAAAAAATAAAATTTAGAATTATATTAAAAGTACCTGCTAGCTAGAGTAAACACCTAATGTACAATTTAAGTTGAAAGGTTTATGAATTTATGTTACTTATTTTAGTGCAAAATATTTAATTTATATATCTACAATTTTAAATTGTTTTGTTGATAAATAATTTACTTAATATTAATATGTACTTTTAAATCCTAAATACAAGCAAAATCTATGTACACAGTTTAGGTTGTCAAATGTTTTAAAAATTATAAGAGTTAAATCTTTACAAATACTAATAATAAAAAAGTATCTATTAGTATTTGAAAGGAACTGAAAACTTGCCTCAAACTCTAATTATTTGATCCATAAATGTGTGCAACCTGATGGTGTAAGCGTTTCATATTTCAAGTTTTGACGATTTTATCTAGCTCAAAATTCAAAGTTTGAAATTTCTAATGTACGACATCAGGTTTTGCCAAGGTTGTATACAAAGGTTGCTCTCGATGCACTCCAATATACGGAAAATTTCGTGTACTTAGCATAGATCGATACAATCCGCATATGACGTCAATCTCGCCTCTATAATCAGTGACGTCATGTACGGGTTTATATATCAATGCGAATGAGACGACATTTCCGTACATTGGAGCGAATCGAGAGTAAGCAACCTTGGCTTATTATACAATAATACAACCTTAGGATTGCAACATTAGAGTATGAGGAGAGTAATACAAATTATTTTGTATGTACATGAAAATAGCGCTATTTACATCTCAATGCGGTAGAGTCAGCTGTACAACTTTGTAAATTGCAGGATTTATCTGGATATTTCTGTACAGGTGGTCGAGTGGATCATCTAGGTTGGTAATTAGTAAAGGAAAAGATTAAAATTTAATGTAAAAATTCCGTTAATTGTCATTAGTTCTGGGTGGAATTCAAGTCATTAATTTAAACTAGGACTCATTCAACAGTTATCACCTCTTATCTATGTTTTTTTCCAGTAATTTTTCTGGTAATCGTTGTCCCGGAGTTTTTTATTTTTTTTTCATTTTACTAAATTAATAATTATTTACAATTTTATTCAAGCGGAAGCGAATTGAAATTATATACATTAGTTCTTAAGCCCATGGGTGTGCACAGGATGGTTGGGGGGTATTGTCTCCTCCCCCCCCCCTAAAAACAGGTTTTCGAATCATAGAGACCAGTCCAGAAAGAAAATGTCTGAACTATTTACATTTTTCATTTTTTTGTAAAGGGTTACACAGACAGGATGAGACTTCTTTCTTTGTCAAATCATTAAATAAGCCAGAAAAAGACATTATTTAAGATAAATGACTAAAATTAACTGTTGAATCGTCATAATTTAAAAGTTTTTGATCATGTTGCAGTCGTTTTTGTGGGTAACCCTTTAGTTGAAAATTAAACCTTTTTTTATTTCATATTTGAGAAATGATCATGTTAGGAAAATGCTGCATGGAAATCAGTCAGTGAAAGAGAAAATTCCTTTCGAAAAATTTCTAACATCGAAGCAACCAATTGTTTAACAACCCTATAGGGTGAGAAACAAACCAAAAGATGCAAAAGAAAACTGTTCAAGTTGAACAAGAGAAGGATGGTCAGGATATTGAAGTACAGCTCGTCTTCCATTCACCCAAACATCTTCATAATATAAACACCGAAAATTTAGAAGAATTGTATTTGATTATAGTTGAGAATTTTTAATAAATAGAAGCTGATTTTTTTTACCTTTGAATTCTGCATCAGCTGCCTTTATATTAGTGAAGAACTGGGAGGGTTGGAGTCTGCAAACAAAATATAACACAATGAAATGAAAAAGTAATGGAAAAGACAAAATGAAATGAAAAAGTAATGGAAAAGACAAAATATAACATAATGAAATGAAAAAGTAATGGAAAAGACAAAATATAACATATAATATAATTTCTAGAGAGTACGCTAGACATTTCATTTTTTATTTCCTAAATCCTAATTCTTCTTCCTCAATTTCCTCCTTTCTTCCTTTCTCCTCCTTTTTTCCTCTTTCCTCCTTTCTTTTCCCAAAATCCATCTCAGAGCTCTACAATTATTAATTAATATTATTAAGAAAATAAGAAAATACATACAATCTTGTGTGGATCCATTATTTAAACCTGTATTCTGTCTTACAAATATCTTTTCTCAGGAATACTGTGATCTTGTGTGGATCCATTATTTAAACCTGTATTCTGTCTTACAATTATCTTTTCTCAGAAATACTGTGATCTTGTGTGGATCCATTATTTAAACCTGTATTCTGTCTTACAAATATCTTTTCTCAGGAATACTGTGATCTTGTGTGGATCCATTATTTAATATCTTTTCTCAGGAATACTGTGATCTTGTGTGGATCCATTATTTAAACCTGTATTTTGTCTTACAAATATCTTTTCTCAGGAATACTGTGACCTTGTGGGATCCATTATTTAAACCTGTATTCTGTCTTACAAATATCTTTTCTCAGGGTCAAAATTTATCATATAGGGAAACAAATGTTTGAGATAAACAGTTTTGAAATTTATACACCTTGTGAAACATTTTAAAAGTATTATTACAACTGTGTCTCCTCACTATTTACAGCTAACTGTAGACTCAAAATACATTTTAGAATTTAAGCAGCGGTGGGTCTGTTGTTATAAAGTATAGTGGTCAGCGATTATCAATACAATGAAGACGATTTTTATTTAAGTTTTGATTGTTAACAAGCTTTTTCGAATTATAAGTTTACAAGTAATTAAAGAGAAGCTTTTTTATTGGCAGCTTCTCTTTGTTTCCATATAATTATGTGTATTCATGCAATTTAAAAGCTTGATAAAAATCAGAATCAAAATTCGTCTTTATTTTAATGATATATAGGACGATGACTGTAGTTTCCATTAAACTGTGGACAAGTAAAACGACCTTTACCAGTACACTGTGGACTAGGGTCAATTTGAATTCGAACCCAACAGACCCCTTGTACCGGCAGGCAAGTACCAGCCCGACCCTATCATAATATTCCGGCTCGGTTTAAACTTTGATGGCGCGGCCAGACATTTTACAGTTCTATCATAGACCTATTTTACCTTCGCCGCTATAGCTTAGTTTAGTGTGAAAATTATTTTATCAAATAATAATGAACCGTTTCAGCAAAACAGTTCCTGTTTATGACTATCTAAAATCAGAACTTGAGTTTTACAGTCCTGAGTGGTCCGCCTATTTCAGAATTGTTTTGGTCCCACTTTACCTGATAAACATTTTCAGGATGAAAAACCGCATTAGACCCTCCCTCGTCATCCGAGGGGTAATCTGGAAACCGTCCCTGTTCATCCCTAAAAATAGGATTCTTTTTTACACAATCTTTTCAGAAATTAGAAAACTGTTTCAATGAGAATTGTAAAATCTGCTAAAAGTTAATGACATTGATGGCAAAATGTAAACAACGCAAAAGGAAATTTTTTTTGCTTACTTTTCCTCCCAGAACCATTTTCTAATGTCGTCTTTCATTTTCTCTGTGAGATCAGGACCCTCTGCATCTCTTATTTCCTCCTATACATAAAAGGCTTGAATAGTGTTTATGTTTTTTTTTATTTAGTATAGCAGTTAACTACAGTTTAACAGAACTTCGGAGACATTGAAATAATTTATAAAATGTCGTCTTGACAATTTTTTTATACTTTTATACCTAAATCTCAGTAATTGTAAAAATAAATAAATAGCCATGAATATGCAGGAATATTTTTAAAGAGCTCCATATAATTATTCAATTATCGATGGGTTCAGAAAATGACATTTTTTATTCTTTCGATGACTCCACAAAGTTCTGGATTAACCTGTAGCATGTATGAAAAAAATTAGCCTATTAGACGTGTTTGCGAACAATCAAAGGTGGTCCAAATTAATCTATTGGTGCCACTTTTATTTTAATGTGTTGTTTTTCTTTGTAAAAAATTAAGGTTAACCGTTTCCAAGATACTCAAGAATTCTTGATACGTCTAATCAAATTTAAAACTGAATTATTCTAAAAATTGTGAGCCGATTCTACACATTTATCTAGTATTGGGGGTTAAAAACTAAGAATATATCAGAAAAATAAAAAAGGTGAAGAAACACATGAGATTATTACCTTAATGTCTAAGAGAGATTTCTTGTAACTTGCTTCATGTTCCATCTAAGCATAAAATGTTTACAAATTCTTTATTTTTGAACCTAGGCGTAGGCACAACAAGCCTAAAAGATGTAAAACTTCTCGTTGTATCATCAAAAGTATGTAATTTACAATAAGGTTTAAAGAATAAGGGAGTAAACAGTTTCTTAAGATAAAACCAAGAAACATTTCGTGTTTTCCCACAGTAGAGACGAATTGGATCTCTTTGAATAATTAAAAATTTATAAACTATTTAAAATATGTAAAGTTTTTGTTGATGAGAAATAAAAAAGTTAGCTGTTTTAGTAAAATGTACAGTACACTGTACAGATATAGTCTATAAATTATATCATCTGTATATAGCATGTAACCCAGTATATGACTTTCTTCTTTGCTGCAAAGAAAAAAAACAATACTTAATAGTTAAATTAATATTGCAAATTCCTGTTTTTCTCGTCTTGAAGCAGAAATCTCTTTAAGTTTCTCTTGGAAGACAACAGGATAAACTGGTGGCGGTATCTGTAAGATAATTAAGAATGTCGTCTTCAGCAAAAACATTATTTTAGGATACATTTTGGTCATGGTAAAGTTTAGTAACGTTTGTTGTTGTAAACAAACAGTCAATTAATCTTTCTGTAAAAAGGGAAAGTTTTTATATAATACTTGACCAGTTTGACTAACAAAGCATCCTATTTTCTTATGCTTTGGATACTATTAATGGTCATAATGGTCTTCAGAACTTCAATTTTTGTTACATGAACATTAAACTGTTGAATACGATGAAGACTGCAGTTATAAAATAAATTGTGATTTTAAAAGTCCACGTGATCATGACAAAAAGCAATTGGAGTATACACGGAGTGACGGACCCATGTCTCTTGGTAAGTTTGTTTTCTAGATTATAGTAAGACTTTTATGTTTAGAAGAACATGCAATCAACATAAGCTTTTCATGTCATCTTCCTATTCCTCATGTTTATGGGTCTCACTGTAGATTGATTGATGAGCCATACTTACCATACCGATGAAAGTAAGCTCTTCTTCTCTTTTCTGTTTAACGAACTTCCTGGCCAGAAATCCCCGCCATATTCTTTGAATCCTACAACAAATATTTACTGAAGAATAATTATTATGATAGAAGAAACATGTTTTTTATTTTATTTACAGTAATTGAAGGGACTGTAAGCGTTATTTCCATGTAATCTTCCATGCAAAGATGGCAATACCCGATTCACAACGGTACCCTTAAAAGCTTTGTCTGATCAATTATTAATTAGATATAAATGTTTAAAATTAATTATTTTCAATTATGATTTCTCTTACTGCAGGAAACACATTTAGGAACAATAAGAATTAAATAGTTTTAAAGCAAGAAAAACATCAATATCTTCCACATTATTAATTCTATGAAGGTTTAAAGGGAACCGTTGAGAATCGGTTATTGCCATCTTTGCATGGAGGATTACTTAAGATTACGCAAACAGAGACCGAATTTAAAGAATTTATGTCGCGGCTTAAATCCACCAAAACCCGGTTTAAATTGAGCGCAGGCTTAAATCTTGAAACATTTGATACAATTTTAAGTTTAAACCGCGGCTCAAATTCTTTAAATTCGGCCTCTGTCTCTTTAAAAATCATGTTTCTTTTTTTTACGAAAATTAACAATTACAATTTACGTGCAAACATGTACCGACACTTTGCCCGCAAATGATGTGTTACACTATAGACGAATATTTATAATAACAACCAGTTGTTTTACTGCAACGACGAATAAATAAGACGAAAAAGGAGTTGAAAATTGACCTGTGCTTAGGTCGACGGAGTTTGATGGATAACATGTCTCGTCATATTATACCTGCAAGCTGCTTTAATTTCGGTCATAGTAAGCAGAGAGTTTGGTTTATTCTTCCTATCCTCCTCCTGCTGGATCCGTATATCATGCATCAGCTTAGCGCGTAGCCGTCCTTGTCGTGCCCTCTCATGCACCTGGAGTAGACGGATAGCTTCAACCCTGAAATACATTTGGTCAGAAATTCAAATGTTGATGGATAGAAGGCATCTGATTCTGATAAACTAGAACTAAAATATTCTGTTAAATCTCAGGAATCTAAAATTTAAAAAAATTGTTAACGTAACTTTTAGTGTCACTTTTGTTAGAGAGGCATTAATGATTTTTAAATAGTTATTTCTGGGACGTAGAACTCCATGATCAGATGAATCATTTGAAATTAGTATCCTTAAAATACAATTACAGCTTTTAACATGTCCTTTACCTATCCATAGTTTTAGCATTCTTGGCCTGACTATGAGAATCCATCTTTTTCCTGACTTCCAGAAGTAAACCAGACCAGTAGTTCACCTCCTCGATCCTCTCCTGGATACAGGGGTAAACGGATACAGGGATAAAGGGATACAGGGATACAGGGATACAGGGATACAGGGATTCAGGGATACAGGGATTCAGGGATTCAGGGATACAGGGATACACGGATACAGGGATACAGGTGTACATGGATACAGGGGTAAAGGGATACAGGGATACAGGGATACAGGGATACAGGGATACAGGGATACAGGGATCCAGGGATACAGGGATACAGGGGTACAGGGATACAGGGATACAGGGATACAGGGTTACATGGATACAGGGATTAAAGGATACAGGGAGAAATTCGTCAGATGCAAAAAGTCGGTATAAATGGTACCTTCTCAGACTTATTCGAAATATTAGAAATATTATTGTTCAAGGATCAAGTCTAATTGCTGTTTATTGTTTATTATCTACTAGAAATTCATGGCGCTTCGCGCCCTTCTTTCTAGCCTTAGAGGGCGCTTCGCGCCCATCTTCTAAATTAGTTGTGTGATACAGGGATACAGGGATACAGGGATACAGGGATACAGGGATACAGGGATACAGGGATACAGGGATACAGGGATACAGGGATACAGGTGTACAGGGATACAAGGATACAGGGATACAGGGATAAAGGAATACGGGGATACAGAGATAAAGGAATACGGGGATAGAGGGATGCAGGAAAACGGGGATACAGGGATACAGGAATTACAGGGATGCAGTTAAGTATGCAAGGATACAGATAAAGACTAATTTATTTTGTGTCATATTGATTGTCAGTTCATAATCTCAAAAAATTGAAGAATTTAGTTTTCTTTAAATTTTTATTTGTTTTGATTACTTTAAGTTCTGAGAGTAATGTTATAATTAAATAAATCCTCAGTTTTCTCGTAAAATTAACTGAAATTAGTTAAACTGTAACCTATTATATATAGATTATAAAAGTAAAGATATACTGTATGATACCAAGCCGAAATATCTATCTATCCATCTATCTATCTATCTATCTATCTATCTATCTATCTATCTATCTATCTATATCTACCTGTGAAAGGTAGGTTGGTATTGGAATCTCTAGTTTATCTGGAGTCATCTTCATATCTGAGAGAATATCGTCCAGCATTGAAAACTCATTTAGATCCAGGTTGACCAGCTCGTGCTGATCAAATATTAGTAAAATTAAAGGGACTGTAAACGTGATTTCAAGTAAACCTCTATCTATAAAGTGGCATGTCTGATTCACACTTAAAAGCTTTTTAAGATCAAGGACAAATCTTAGTTTATTTTCTAGATAAAAAGTGTGTTTTTTCCTAGATAAAAAGTGTGTATTTTCTAGATAAAAAGTGTGTATTTTCTAGATAAAAAGTGTGTATTTTCAGTAGTGAGTTCTCTGTAACTAAGCGACATGCAAATCTATGCTGCAGAGCTAAAAGAAAAAAATGTTCAGATTTAATCATTTTAAAAACAAAAATTACGATATTTCCTATAATGAAACCTTGAACTATAAGCTATGTATTAATTTGGATTGTCTATGCCGAAAAAATGTCTTTATATAAATAGAAATTCATCAATGTTAACAGAAATATTCACGTACTTACAATTACGAAGAAAACTTGGGGCAGGAAAATTGGGGCAGGAAAAGCAACAATTAAAAAATTGTTTCTATAAGAGGGAACCCTAAAAGCTTATTATAATATATGTATATTATATTATATAAGGTATTTGGGTATTATGCAAAGTTTTAGACACATTTTGAGCCCCTTGTTACACTTTTTTGATAAAATGTATTTAAAATGTATTTAAAAATGTATTTACCTTAAGTTCTATTATCCTCCCTATAGTTGCTTCCAGAACTTTTCTGTTGAGAAATCAATTATGACGTTATTTAAAATAAAGATATTTAAAATCATTATAATTTTACGTACAATTCGTACAATAAATATCTCATCTATATTTTGTTTGAAAAACGAGGATAACATATACCTATAAATTGCTTAATAAGAGTACAAATAAATGTTTTCTCAATAAATATATACGATATATCTAAACTATACAATTATACAAACCCCCCCCCCTACTCCTCTTCATCTAGCTACAGTACAGAGCCAGCTCATGCATTCAATGCAATCTTGCAAATTTCTATTTTATTTTAGCAATATTGCATCAAACCAACGATGCAGTTGTATTTTAGCAAGCTTTAATATAAAGTTCTAAAATCTAAGTAGTATATTTTATTTTTAATTTTTGAACATATATACAACAAATAAAAAAAAATTGTAAAATTATTCCAAAGTATATTTTTCAGACATTTTTCCCCCCCCAATTTTTATTTTAAATTTTTTGTGTGTTTTTTTTTCCACGGGCCCTTCAGCTAGTATTTTACTAAAACATGAAAACCTTCAAGCAAGAAATATTAGCAGAAATCTCTAGAGAACTTAATGTAAACAAGGAAAACAAGGAACGTGTCTGATTTGCATATATATATTATACCTGACAAGTATTCTTTTTTGTGGATGCAACATTTGGTCGTAACAAGCATCAAGGTTCCTTAGTACTCCAACATATCTATATATCAAGGTTCCGTTATAGTACTCTATCATGTAGTACTCCAACATATCTATATATCATGGTTCCGTTATAGTACTCTATCATGTAGTACTCCAACATATCTATATATCAAGGTTCCGTTATAGTACTCTATCATGTAGTACTCCAAAATATCTATATATCAAGGCTCCGTTATAGTACTCTATCATGTAGTACTCCAACATATCTATATATCAAGGCTCCGTTATAGTACTCTAACATGCAGTACTCCAACATGGAGTAATTAATGTCCTGAGTGTTATTTACCATCCCTCCAATTGAGTAATTAGTATCCTGAGTGTTAATCACCATCTCTCTGATGAAGTAAATAGTGTCCTGAGTGTTTAATGTATATCATCATTATTCACGCTTAGAAGGAATTTTTTTGCGTGGAATTTTACTGAATTTATACATTCATTGATTTGGTGGGCATAGACCCGTATTCTGTATGACGCAACAGGACTGCGTAATCAGAAATAATGCGTAGTAGGGTTTTCAGAAGAGATAAAAACATAATGTCTTAACTAACCTAACCCATGGCCGCAGCGCTCGGCACAGAAAGTGTCTTTACCTAGCCTAACCCTAAATAATAAAGCTTACTGTGCATTTACATTATTAGGAGTGGTGACTGGAAAGGTATTCTAGTTGAACTGAGAGATGAGCATTACAAAATCATATCTCAGGTTTCATTTGATCCTTATAAAACAACGTTTTTACGTTGTATATAACTGCTACTTAAGAACAAAAATAAGTTCTTTAAAAACCACGTAGCTGGATAATTTTGTGAATTTTGTGAGTTGACCTCCAGATTCATCCAGTCTTGTGATTTTTGAAGAACGAAGTCTTCTTTTATCAAGGGCTAGAATGAACTCTAGAAAGGACTCTAGGATAATCTTGATTTCCAATTTTATACCTATCAGACAACAAACTTTGGTTAAAGCAACCTATAGTTGCTGAAAGGTTAAAAAGATAATATTTCCAGAACTTTGGAATAAATTTAAATTAAGTTCAAGGAATTGAGGATTTACCACATCTCAAATATTCAAATCCCTATATCTTTGCAACTTAATAGTGTAAACCTTTGATATTTCAAACTTATATTATTTGTGTTACCGAATTAATAGTTTAAGAAATCTAAGGTCTACGACATTGGGTGGTAAAGATGTAGAGATTAGAAAATCAGAGTTTGTGGCAAAAACTCAATTTTTTAATAAAAGATATTAATGATTTGTATTTTTTATTTAATGTGAGGTCGGTTAACTCTGATCTCAACCCTACTACATGAGCCGATGGGGGGTCGGTTAACTCTGATATCAACCCTACTACATGAGCCAATGTAAGGTCGGTTAACTCTGATCTCAACCCTACTACATGAGCCAATGTGAGGTCGGTTAACTCTGATCTCAACCCTACTACATGAGCAATTGTGGGGTCGGTTAACTCTGATCTCAACTCTACTACATGAGCCAATGCAAGGTCGGTTAACTCTGATCTCAACCCTACTATAGAGCCAATGTGAGGTCGGTTAACTCTGATCTCAACTCTACTACATGAGCAAATATGAGGTCGGTTAACTCTGATCTCAACCCTACTATATAGTTAATGTGAGGTCGGTTAACTCTGATCTCAACCCTACTATATGAGCCAATGCAAGGTCGGTTAACTCTGATCTCAACCCTACTACATAAGCCAATGTTAGGTCGGTTAACTCTGATCTCAACCCTACTACATGAGCCAATGTGGGATCGGTTAACTCTGATCTCAACTCTACTACATGTGCCGATGCAAGGTCGGTTAACTCTGATCTCAACTCTACTACATGAGCCAATGTAAGGTCGGTTTAACTCTGATCTCAACCCTACTACATGAGCCAATGTGAGGTCGGTTAACTCTGATATCAACCCTACTACATGAGCCAATGTAAGGTCGGTTAACTCTGATCTCAACTCTACTACATGAGCCAATGTAAGGTCGGTTTAACTCTGATCTCAACCCTACTACATGAGCCAATGTGAGGTCGGTTAACTCTGATCTCAACTCTACTACATGAGCCAATGTAAGGTCGGGTTAACTCTGATCTCAACCCTACTACATGAGCCAATGTGAGGTCGGTTAATTCTGATCTCAACCCTACTACATGAGCCAATGTAAGGTCGGTTAACTCTCATCTCAACCCTACTACATGAGCCAATGTAAGGTCGGTTAACTCTCATCTCAACCCTAGTACATGAGCCTTCCAATCATTTCTTTACTTAGCAATCAACATTTTTTACCTGATTGATAAAATGTAAATGTATGTATGTGCAGTTGATCCAATAATTTTACAATTTTTCTATTCAATTATTTGAAGATAAATGCTAATATGAAGAGATGAATTTGAAAATGTCACACAATAAAAAAATGGTGGTTCCAAAAAAACACAATCTGAATGAAAAGAATTTTTGAAAATCATTTTAGACGAAAACACAGGTCATTGAAGACAATATCATAAAGAAGGATTTATTTCATTTTTTGATTTTTTTTAAAATGTGTATAATACCTGATGTATACTTTGGAAACAGTTTTGTAAGCAGTCTCCCTAAACAATACAATTTTTAAATCAGATAATGAACATTAAAGGGTTAAGGTTGAGTGTTCAGGAACTTTTAAATGGTGTTAAGGTTACACTAGAAAGAACCCGGGGTTTTAAAATGCATTTTACAGTTGGTGCTCTCTGATATTCTGTAATATCATTTTTTAACTTTCTTTCAAACTTTTGAACGTTTAAATGTTCTTTCCGCCATGCATCGAGAGCAGTAATGCTTTAGAACAGAATGATAATTGTTAAGATAAATCCGAAACTTTTCTATAAGATGGAGGATTATGTCTTAATCAGTCCATTTAAATGTTATCAGGGACATATCGTTGTTTCTTCAGAAACTGATAATCAACGTCGAAACGACTGAGCCAATTTTTTTTTTGTTGCATGAAATGTTCTTACCGTTTGGTTTGAATAGATTAAAATTTAAAGACATTCCGTCAAAACAAAATATATGAAAATATTTTTAAAATCAGCAGCTGCAAAACTGTAAAAATAAAAAAATTGAGACTCAAATGGAGAAGAAAAAATTTTAATTAGAAATCGACATGGAATTCAAGTTTTGTATTTTTTGTAATTATATCATTTAGATATTTATGTATTAACAATTTACTTATCGATGAATTTAATAACATAATTATTTATTCTATCGCTATTCAAATATTTGTATTTATTTATTCAACAATTTTTTTTTGATCATTGTATACTTACCTTTTTCTTGTAATGTTGCATTGAAAGTGAAAATATTTTGCACAAATTTCTTTTTAATTGGATTAAAAAATCAACCCGATCAAGTGCTAATTGCATGAGTTCATAATGCATCTTTGCTTTACTTGGATTCTTAAAACTGCAATTTTCAAGAAATCAAAAAAAGGGAATCAGCTATACAGATTACACATGGTACACGTCGGATACAGATTACACATGGTATACTCCGGATACAGATTACACATGGTACACAGCGGATACAGATTACACATGGTACACGTCGGATACAGATTACACATGGTACACTCCGGATAAAGATTACACATGGTACACAGCGGATACAGATTACACATGGTACACTCCGGATACAGATTACACATGGTACACAGCGGATACAGATTACACATGGTACACTCCGCATACAGATTACACATGGTACACAGCGGATACAGATTACACATGGTACACGGCGGATACAGATTACACATGGTACACGGCGGATACAGATTACACATGGTACACAGCGGATACAGATTACACATGGTACACAGCGGATACAGATTACACACGGTACACGCCGGATACAGATTACAAACGGTACACGCCGGATACAGATTACACACGGTACACAGCGGATACAGATTACACACGGTACACAGCGGATACAAATTACACATGGTACACGGTGGATACAGATTACACATGGTACACTCCGCATACAGATTACACATGGTACACGGCGGATACAGATTACACATGGTACACGGCGGATACAGATTACACATGGTACACGCCGGATACAGATTACACACGGTACACAGCGGATACAGATTACACACGGTACACGGCGGATACANAATTTGGCTTGTTTGTCTGTTTGTATCCAATAAACGTCAAAACGGCTGAACCGATCGGGCCCAAATTTTTTGTGGGACCTCACGTGACCCCAGGGAAGGTTTATGAATGATCAAAATTTTAAAAATTTATGTTCAAAAGTTTTTTATTTTTGAAAAATTTTGAAAATGCGCAAAAAAATATTATGAAATCCGCAAACTTTTTTTGTTTTTGTTTTATACTGTACAAAGAGAAGATGTTCAGAGATAAAGCCACAATTAAAAGTTGAAATAGAAGATGGGCGCGAAGCGCCCTGAAAGCCTAGAAAGAAGGGCGCGAAGCGCCCTGAATTTCTAGTAATGTACAAATGTATGTAATGTACAAATATACATAATGTACAAATATACATAATGTACAAATATACATAATTTACAAATATACATAATATACAAATGCGTTATGTATCGAAATTGATGATGCCAAAAAAAGTGGCAAATCGATGACGTCCCAAAACTTACATAATGTTTCAAAATATATAATGCACAAAATACATAACGTCCAAGAATGTAATATTTACCAATATTTTAAATGTTACAAAGTGTTTGAAATTAAAGGAGTTCTAATCATAATTTAGAGTTTCATAAACGATCAGGCCTGAATTCTACATTATGCATTGGTTTAAAAAGACAAATTAACAAAGTCGAGACTAGGAAAATTAAGGATCCCACCCTATAATGTGTAAGGAAGAAATAATAATATTAAAAACAATAATAATAAAACGATGTATCTATCTACTTTATACGTTTTATTAACATCCACAAGTTTAGTTCATTCTCATAATCAAAATGGTGTTTGTAAGTCTGAGTTTCGATATTCTGAAATAATTTGAAGATCCAAACTCCTACTTGCAGTATGCAGTGTGCAGTATGCAGTGTGCAGTATGCAGTGTGCAGTATGCAGTGTGCAGTATGCAGTATGCAGTATGCAGTATGCAGTATGCTGTATGCAATATGCAGTATGCAGTATGCAATATGCAGTATGCAGTATGCAGTATGCAGTATGCAGTATGCAGTATGCAGAATGCAGTATGCAGTATGCAGTATGCAGTATGCAGTATGCAGTATGCAGTATGCAGTATGCAGTATGCAGTATGCAGTATGCACAATATTCTGTATGAGGTGACAGAGCATAATGCAGAAACATATCTTCAACTTGCAAAGTAGCAAGCGGTAAGCACTGGGGTTATACAGTTCATACTTCTCTTTAGGCTTCAACATAAAACTTACTTACAGTTATTTGGGGGTTGGGGTACCGGTCGGGGGGTGGGGGAGGGGGCTCTAAAACATTCTACAAAACATGGCTGAAAGTGAAACCTCTTTAAAGTTTAAAAGATTTTTTTGCAATTTATATAAAAAAGATTTTACTTAGTTTGCCTTACTTATAAATTTTTTCTAACTCATTTCATAATGTTTGAATGAACCTGTTGTGAATCTTTGATGGTGTTGGAATGAGTCTAATAACGTTGATAAACTGTTGTTATATTTCTGACTATACCTGCTGCACTAGAAATGCATAAAGGTTTTGTAGGATTTCATGGAAACCTTGTAAAAATGCATTTTCATTCAAGGAGGGGGTTTGAATTAAAACAAGGATAGACAAACTACGCAGGTCACCCGGGATATAAAATTGCTGAGAATAACCCCACTAAATATAAAACCACTGAATTTAAAGCTATTCGATATAAAACCACTGAATTTAAAGCTATTCGATATAAAACAACTGGATTTAAAGCTATTCGATATAAAACAACTGGATTTAAAGCTATTCGATATAAAACAACTGGATTTAAAGCTATTCCATATAAAACAACTGGATATAAAACTACTGGATATAAAACTAATGGATATAAAACTACTGAATATAAAACTACTGGATACAAAACCACTGGATTAAATGCAATTGAATATAGAATTACTGGATATAAACTATTGGATATAAAACTACTGGATATAAAACAAATGGATGTAAAACTACTGGATATAAAACTACTGAACATAAAACTACTGAACATAAAACTACTGAATATAAAACTACTGGATATAAAACCACTGGATTTAAAGCTATTAAATATAAAACTACTGGATATAAAACTAATGGACATAAAACTAATGGATATAAAACTGATGGATATAAAACTACTGAATATAAAACTACTGGATATAAAACAAGTGAATATAAAACTACTGGATATAAAACCACTGGATTTAAAGCTATTAGATATAAAACTACTGGATATAAAACTAATGGATATAAAACTAATGGATATAGAACTACTGGATATAAAACTACTGGATATAAAACTGCTGGATTTAAAACTCCTCCCTTCTCTGCTCCTCCCTTCTCTGTTCCTCTCTTCTCTCCTCCTCCCTGCTCTCCTCCTCCCTTCTCTGCACCTCCCTTCTCTGCCCCTCGAATTCAAAATTCCCAAACCTGCACGAGTTTATGTCCATTTCAGGCAGTGGCAAGCTGTAGGCCCAGCTGAGTCCAGAGTCTCCAGAGTTGAGAAGGTACATGTTTCTTAGAATACACATCACACACACGCTACACCAGACACACACACATCTCTTATATGCGCCTGATGCCTTTTTCCAGTTATTCATGCAGTTATATAATATTCCTACACTCGTCCGGCCTACACTTAGGCTTTCGCCTCACGTTCAGTTCTACCCCCCCCTCCCCTTTCCCCCCACATCAATCCGGAGTTGAGAAGGTACGTACTCTTCAAACTCATTCTAAACACACTATACAAACACTATACACACTATAATTGAGCATCAAATACACTTAAGTATCGATATACTTTTCGTCCTCTTGTTCCACGGTGTTCTGGTTCTCTCTGTATACTTTTTGAATATCATTATTTACAAATTTTCTCAACTCAACTCAACTACCGTGTTTAGCCAGACATTCCCTTTAAGTCGCAATGATGTAATGTTTTCTTTGTACAGATAAAAACATTAACGTTGAAAATAACGAAGATTTTTTAAAGAATTTTTACGTTTCAGACTAAACAATAAATAAATAACGGAGTGAATCCTGTCTTCGATATATTTTAAGTGATATTTGATCTCTTATTGAAACTTTGTCAAAAATAAGAAACTTATATACTGAAATATTTAAGATAAGGAACACAACAAACATGTATAAATAGAAAATAGAAAAAAACGAAAAATCTACATTTAATAGTTAAAAGTGTGTTCTAAAGTTAAGTCTCCCTGAAGGGCGTATACAGAAATAAATCTAAATTTTTTATGGGGGGGGGGGGGCAAAATTTGAACTGTAAATTCAAAACATTTGGATACAATTTAAAGGTACACATACAGTCCAATTACCTTACTATAGTATATACTTTATCTCTCCTTCAAACAAAACTGCATCATATGTTCTATTCTACATTTATACAATTTTTTTATGAAAATCTAAAAACTTTTAACTTGTATCGGATATATGGTTAATGTGTATTGTCAATCTAAACAACTTTCAGAACAAAATTTCAGTAAAATTTGGATTTTTAAGAAATATCTTAAAACATCGAAAATATATATCAAACGGAAAAAAATTGTTCATATATATATATATATACGTCGCTAATACATATAATAATATATTTAGAAAAAAATAGATTTTCTAAATCTTTTAAACAAAATAATCCATCAGATGGTAAAAAGATATTAAAAGGACATCAGTTTGTAGTAAATGCCTACTCCATATAAGTCTTTCAGAAACGTATCAATCCAGTTCAGTAGAACTTTACTATTAATATCAATCCAGACACGATTTATCTGTACCAATTTTTTATAATCAATGTCAATCCAGACATGATTTATCTGTACCAATGTTTTACAATCAATGTCAATCCAGACATGATTTATCTGTACCAATGTTTTACAATCAATATCAATCCAGACATGATTTATCTGTACCAATGTTTTACAATCAATATCAATCTGGACACGATTTATCTGTACCAATGCTTTACAATCAATGTCAATCCGAACACGATTTATCTGTACCAATGCTTTACAACCAATGTCAATCCGGACACGATTTATCTGAACCAATGTTTTACAATCAATGTCAATCCGAACACGATTGATCTGTACCAATTCCCAATTTCTAGGTTACAGATAAAGTTTAATAGACGTAATTACAAGTTTTGCATCGTTATATATACCAACGTAGTTAAGCTAATCGCATTATAGGTTTGACGCAGTTATTTACAGACGTAATTGGGTTAGGTTAATCGCAATACAAGATTTGCGTAGTTTCTGATAAGCGCATTTAGATTTACAGGAAATGTACCACGTAATTTATCTAGGTGTAACTATGGGATTAACAAAAATATTTATTATTGCTCCACAAACTCTGATTTTCTAATTCCTATATCTTTGCAACCTGATGTCATAGACCTTTGGTATTTCAAACTATGAATTCTGTTAGATCAAAAAGTCTAAGTTTAAGATATCAAAGCTTTACATAATCAGGTTGCAAAGATAAAGGGATTAGGACATTTTAGTTATTAAAACTTATTATGCATTATGTTTTACCTGTTTCTCTCTGGTTTTGCCTGATGTAGTTCTTCTTCAAGTTGTACAATACTCCTTCAAAGCTTTGTTATTATCCTCTGTGATTTAAAGGCCTCACACTTTCAAGCAAAAATTAATGAGAATTTTGCCAATTACTTTTTGAATGCAAAAGCTAATAGCAAGTGCTTTATACTGCTAAAATGTACATGTAAAGGGCTACAGAAAAGCATAAGTAGGTTAGAGAGGTAAGATCTAAACCCAAGGCGTTGCGACACTTCAAAGTCGACCCTATCTTAAAAATTGATGAGACTATTTATAAGCAGGCTGAATCTATCCCACAGAAAATCTACGAATTTCTTAACATTTATTTAAACAACGCATTTTTCCTTATCTCCGCCTGTGTATTGTCCCAGAGTTCATTAAAGGTTCTGAATATAAAATATTGTTGATATTTATTAACATAAGTGAATTACAATTTACAAAATATGATCGAACTTGTTTTGTTTAAAAATGTTTTTAAAAAGTGTCGCTGTGTTATGCCGATTGACTGGGCAGTGGGCATGCAGCAAAGACAGCAATATTTGTTCAGGGGGGGGGCTTAAAATTTTTTTCTTTTCAGGGAGGGATTGTTTCGCTACTTAGCGATTTCCCTAAAGACCTAATATATATACCGTGTGGTATTTCTCAAGACCGGATTGTAAGACTTCCTTCTCTCAACGCTCTCCATAACAAAAGGATGATAATAAGGTTCCGAACGTTTATTTCTCTGAGTCTTCAATCTA